AATCGGTTAAAAACAATAACTTTTATTCCGCTGTTAAGTTCACTACGACGCATTGCGCGTCGATATATATATGATAATTTGTTAGTTTAGCATCAAGTCGTTTTGACGACTAAAAAATCGTGTGTCCGTTATATATTTTAGGTATAGTACAGTATATATATATATAAATATGCACTTTTATCGTTACGAGACATCGTCGTATCTGATTGACCTTCTGAAGTGCAGACACAATATAAACGCGTTACCGGCTTCACAAATTTAATACTGCAGCGGTATACGTATAATAAATATATATATACGCACGCGCGTGCGCGCGCGCGTGTGTGTGTGTGTGTGCGAGCATAATGCGTGCGTATGACGTGAATGCCTAATACATAATAATATTGTACGAAGTTGCACATCCGATGAATATTCGGATAGCAACGTGAATTTGGGTTGTGGACGTGCTTTTTTTTCTTACACATGTATACTCAGGTAAACGGCTCGTAACGGAAGATGCATGTACATAATATGTTACATCATATATATATGCATATGTGGAAATAATAATAAAAAAAGTATATAATAATAATGGGATAGATGAGCTGCCTGTTAGTGTGCACGGGTTCCTTACGAATGTGTGTGCGTTTTGAGTTATTTATGGTAATTTAAACGCGACGTCCGACGACAGCAGATAGAAGAACAAAATGAAAATGAAAAAAAAAAAACAACAACAACCTGAGAATAAGAAACGACGTTTGTGTCTCGAAGCATCGGAAGAATGATAATATCTCTTTTCACAGAGTCAGACATTGCTGCGTGCATTCGTACAAACATTTATAATACATTGAAATTAGGTATATATTTATACATATATACATGTACATGTAGATACACGTGTATAGTATACCTACTGGGTTCGGTATACATTCACAAGTTGATATTATTATAATATACGTTATATAATATTATTATAATACGAAGCAATAATCCTCGAGCGTGGCGGTTGCCTCCTCGCGTCGTGTGCGCACGTCATATCACCGAGTGGTCACGAGCATAATAATAATCTTTTCACCCTTTCGAACGGATCGCTGTACACACACACGCGCGTGCGCGCGCGCACACTCACATTCGTGTATACAATATTATGTATATACAGACATGATCCCATTGTCCACGGCTCCGATTCACGTTATCCATCATAATATTATTATAATATACCGTCCATCAATCACCGGGCCGCGACTTATGGGGCTATTTTTCGAGATTTATTCTCCGTTTTCCTTCACGTAACGTTTCCTTCTGCGCGTATAAAATATAATATATAATACGTATCGTGTACGATACCGTACCAATACATAATACGCACGAAGAACCAATAAATTATAATACTGAATAGGTTAACAGTACATGATGATGCAGTACCGACGATGCGGTACCGACCGTACACTATAGGTAGATACGACAATAGGTACGCCGCCGCCACCAAGCGAAATTCGTAACAAGACGCATGCGTATACCTTGTATGTAGTGAAACACGGACGTCATCATAACTGCGCAGACGAAAATCGCCTTGACAACAGTTATTTTTGGTGTAATTAGTACCTAGTTGTCTGTGTACACGACGCACGTTATTACGCATGTTCATATGGTGACAAGAACTATAATAATTATGTGTGTACGATCAGTACCGTGCCTAGTATAATTAGCACCCGGTACCAAAAATAATTTTTAGCGCCCTCGTCCCTCTACAAAATATTTTTGAACCTATAATTATAGCTAAGCTATAAGGAGACTACTTAAGAATATGGGGTTTTATGTAACTTCTCATTTATTTTGTATTTATTAAATTAATAAAAGAAATAATTAATGACTAAAGAACAAAATAATTAATATAACTCAAACTTATTCTTCGACGCCATGTTTTCTCACTATGGTCTACCTACTTGAACAAGTTACCCGCGAATTTCGCTTCTAGATTTAAATCTGTAGTTCCTGTTATACCAGACAAAGTTTGATTCAACGATCTCACTCTTTCCAGATCCTTCGTTATCAAATTTAATCGATTTCGCACTGACCATCATCTCTTACCATGTTGCTTGCAAATTAAATCTTAACGATTCCCTTCCAGTGGTGCAATTATCGGGAGTATCGTGTTTACAATTCACAGAAGCCCCCGGTTTTGAGGAGCTTTGAGATCTCTTCTGATATTACCTTTGTCCCTTACAATATTTCTACTATAATCTGTAATATACATACATTATGTTGTCTGTTTTAATATAATAACAATAAATAATAATATAAGTCTGGAATTTTCACATGGACTCCTTATCGTCAAGTTGCGCCACTGTTCCCTTCTCTGCACACTCCATTTAGAAAAAAAAATCTATATTCTATCTTATATTATCTTTGACTGCCCTTCCTTACCTACCAAACGCAATATCCTAATTAGTCTCTCAATAACCCATTCAATACTTTCAGCATTCTAAATTTCAAAATCTGTTCTTATTCTAATTATTTCCTTCATTCACGAGGCTGATTTCTGTATACAATTTTTTATTATTTTTATAATTTTATAAATGGTATATTATTGTTAATTTGTCATCTCATCGATTTCGGAGCAAAAATAAATACCAATACTAAAAATAAATTAGCAACACCGCCGATCAAGACAATGTTAATGATGTCGACTACGCGCGAGACCATGGCGTTAAACGTGTTAAATATTTTGAATTAAATAATATGGTTAACTTTCAGTAATTTTACTTAGATTATGAAAAAGCTTTTGGCGCCCCAGTGTTAATGGCGTCCGATGAACACGCACCTCTCGCACCCCCCTAGACACGGCCCTGTGTACGATATTTTCGTCATCGAAATCCGAGTTGTACATCCGGTTTTCCGGTTTCTCTCAATTCTTTTATCGTACACTTGTAACTATACGCACGTATACGTTACTATATATAACTCCACATAACTATGAGTATGTATAACTACATTAGTTGTTCAGTATTAAGTCTTAATGCCGCACAGAGTAAAACTGCCACACAGAAAATACCACTTATTCGTTTTTTTATTTACACTGCTACTTCATTTCAATAGAAATAGATATGCAGCTCAGCGAAAACGTAATCTTGAAAAATTTGACCCCAATGGATGTTAGATCTACTTGCCACCATTTTTGTATTACTTTCTGATTTTACGCGATCACATCGCACCGAAAAAAAACACACTTTTCGTAAAACAAGTCAAAAAAAGCATAAAAAGTACACCTCTTTAATAATTATAGCATATCCTTTACAATCATAACTCAAAAGAGCACGTTGATGAATATTACCGATAACATAAGATTTTATTTTTCCTAGATTATTTACAATGTTTAATTTCAATTCTCATATTGTTTATTTTGCGATACATCAAGCGTCGATCGTCAGCTTAGTTCAGGTTTATTTATTAACTACATGCTCATCAGCTAGATATAAAGATATAACGGTCTGGTCGTTGCTAGTTGAAGTTTGTCAATGAGCGTGTTAGAACTTAAAAGTGCAATATCATAGTTATTGTAATTTCGGATGAATGCAAAGTTTGTTTTTTAGTGAACACAATATGTCGACATATTCGGGTATTAAAATCAATTGGTGATCGTGTATGATGCGACTTGCGCTACAACACTCAATCATAATTCATGTACTTACTAATATCTGATAATAGTAAATTACACGGATTACGGTAATTGTCGCTGTAATTGGAACTGTCGTCTAAAAGAGCACACTGATAATAATTATCAATATGCTCTTTTAGGTGACAATATTCCGGTGTTCGTGCACTTACCCGGTATCATTATTTTGTTTTACATACGCATAATACACAGCCAGTGTGCAATTGCAGCAGCGGTTCAAATATTCCAAAATAACAATTTGTTGACACACGCGTGCACATAATCGGATGTCATTACGCAAAACGGGATAGTTAAATTCTACGGAGAAAATGTCCACCTAAGTGTATATATATATAATTGTATACATTATGCGCAAACAATATGGCACAAGGTCGTTGCTGAGAATTAATAATTATGGTAATAATAATACGTACTGTCGTACACGATGTTCGATAAGTTAACAACTCACGTGACACAATCGATCATCGCCGCCATCGTCACTACGACGACCCGCAGACGCAGTCGTTCCGCGGGCCTGACGAAATTCTTTGTTGAGAATATACCGAGCGCAAACAGGTCTAGAGAACTATACATTTCTTTTGTTATTATTTATCAATAAAAAGCAAAATACAAAATAAATAAACCAATATAATATACCCTTGGTAAACTTTAATCTGTGCGTTGGGATCTCGTTGTTGGATCACTACGTTAATAAACATTAATACGAATAATAAAAAAAAAAAAAATATTCGAAATTAAGCTGATACATTACGGTAACGTTCTACCATTGGTTATAGAATAGACTGGTTTTACTATTAAATGTAGAGTATTCGATTTTCGTTGTTTATATAGTCGCATTTAATTGACGATAATTATTCACGTGAAAATTCCTCAAAATCCGATGAAATAATCTTCGTTCTTTTGGCACACATCAAATCAAATTTAAATCAAAAACAGTTCGCTTCGCATAAACGGTTTTAATAATATAATTAAACATTGCTCTCGATTTGAAAATGTTTATAATTCTGGACTACATAAAAAAAAAATAAAAATAAAAAAATAAAAAAAAAGAATAACAAATTTAACACAGTATTTTCAATTAGGTACCAAAACCGTTTACATTCGGAATACAATACAATATTTTGAAATCGATTTCATTAAGCTTTCGATATTGTCTTCTGTGATTTCACATCATGAAATCGGTAATTTCCTTCAATTAACACTAAAACAAGGTCAGTCGGTGAATACGATCGTTTTATATTTTAACACTTTCTTTGGGAGGAAAATATAAATACGTGTACGTGACTCACGTATGTTGATTTGTGCGTGAAAAAAAAAATAGTACAATTGATTTTTTCATCTTTAGGTGATCAAACGACCGACGAACGATTATTTCGACGATTATCACCATTCAATAAAATTGCTAGTTCTTGACAGGAACGATACTTAATATTAATTTATGTCGTAGTATCGAACCGATGATGTCTGTTAAAAAAAATAAAGATATTCATATAGTGTAAGTATGTATTTATATATTATATTTACATTTTTGTATTGTATTTTAGCGATGTGTTGTTAATACACATTTTAAGCACAGTGTCTAAGTTGAATAAATTATTACTGTACATTTTTAAATATTTAAAATACTAGAGGCATTAATATGCGAATATGCACCTTGTATATACTCATAAGTGTGCGCAGACTTGTATTTTATGGGGTACCTACAATATTATTGGGCCCTATCGTGACAAAACGTGTTGGTATATTTAATAAATTAGGTGTTGGTGAGTTGCAGCCCAATCCCTAAATTAAGTACGAGTTGCGGTCCGTGTTTATATAAGAGACGTACGAGTTACAGCCACATTTTATTTATCACTTCATATCAGCCTATCAGCGTTACTCAGAAGACATCACGAGAAGGTTGGCTGAGTCGTCTCCCAAAATTTTTTTTTTATTTTTTATTATTATTTATGTAAAAATGACAAAATGTATGGTAATTTATGGTAAAATTAATTTTTTTAGATTATTGGTTGGGCAAAAATTTAAAACTTAATGATTTAATGAAATTAAACCGCTCTATTTCTTTTTATGCTAGCTTTGTCATCTGTTGTCTTATAAATGCTTCTTTTTTACATATTTTCTTCGTTTTTATTCCATTGCTTCATTTGATACACGTTTCTGATTGAATTTCTACTAAAACATAAATAAAATTATAGATATTAGGATGATTAGAGTAGAATGATGAATTTGGGGGACACATGGTGGCCGGAGATATATAGTTTTCGAAAACATAGTCGGTAAATTGTACAACCCGATCATCTTTAGCGGGCAATATTGCTAAAAAGTCATCCGTGAAACAATCAATGACGTTGTCAGAATCCAAAAATGACAAACCAAAAAAAATTTTGAAATAATAACTTTCATCTGTATTTGTGTTATACATTTTCGTGAGTCCTAAACTTTGAATTTTCCTCCACCAACTTTGCCCTAAGTGAAATCGACATCCTCTTATTTTTGCATTAGGAAAGACTTTTGCTACAGCACTATGGATAGCTTGTTCAAAATTTATAACAACTTCAGTAGGAGAGCACGTTAAACCAATGGACATGAAATGGCGAATTAACCACCGGGCTGCAATTCACCGGTCTCCAACACGTTAATGACATGTCGGGCGGCAACTCATCTGTAGCCAATAAATTATAATGTATAAATAATTAAATAAAAATTGTTTTTATTTAATATTATGGTATACTAGTTCCAATGAATATGTTTTATACTTTTGTAATCGATTGTTGCTGTTAAATTATCTTAATAAGTTTTCACACAAATATTAAAAAATTTTATTTTATTTATTCTATAACAAGATATAATTTATTTATTAGCAAATATTTTAGAATGAATTACATTTAATTTGAGAAACATCAACTGAAAAAGAGGCTCCTCGCTCTTAAGCTAAAATTTTAGAGCCACATTTCCAAAATTTCTAGGAGTGTTCGGGAACACCCAGCACACCCCGTGAGCACGTTTATGCATATACAGTCGAGTCGCGATAACTTGAAGTTGAAGAGGGATAACAATTCACTTCCAGATATGTATTATTCGAGATATTTAACTAATTTATAAGGGAAAAATTTTCTAGGGGAATAAAACACAATTCGAGTTGTCAAATTTTTCGAGTTATCGCGGTTCAACTGTACTACATTTTAAATATTTTAAACAACTATATTACTGTGAAATTATATTTAAAAACGACCACAAAAAAATAAGAAAATCCAATTTCTGCTTGAAGTATATTATTCACGAAAAAACGATATCCATTTACGAAATATTGAATGCTATTTAGCACACATGAATTTGGTTTAGGAATTCATAAATTTTCTTGTTTTCTTGCTTGCGATACTTCCCTTCGTATTTAGAGGAAAATAAATTCCTACACGATTGTTAAGCCCGATTTAAAATCTCAAAACGATAGTCTCTGAAACGGAGACAGAATTCTTCGTCCGTTTAAACCCATTAAAAACATCATTTAGAAATGATTCATCAATCTAATGCGAATCAACCACCTTGGAGACCGTGAAGACACTTTAATGCTGTGTTTACGTTCTTTACAAGAAATAATTAGTAATTATACGTACGTACGCCTTTATTCGGTTTTAATATTTTTATTTTTTACTCATAAACGTTATAGTAATAATAATAATAATATCCAATATATTTTACTACATATGTTGTATAATTATTTAATGATTTACGAAATAGTTTCGTTTTTCCATTATTCATCGACTAGTCCAACGAGTCATCGACTTTCGAACTGCATAATATTTGACCAACAGAATAAACTGTTTGACCTTAGTTGCGCGTGGCGGTTCACGGTACGTTTTGATTTCGTATACATAGTAAATTAAATTTCGTTTTCGTCTAAATCGATAAATCATTCCCGAAACGTATGCGCATTCAAATATTTTCGGACACTATTAAAAAAAGTGCATTAGCCCGGCGTTATGTTTTCCGGTGGCCTTGGATTTTTCGAAAGAGTGAAAAGTTGAGAGAAAGAAAGAAAGATGAATATTTGAAGGGCGAAAAACTGGATGCCTCCGAAAACCATCGCACGTGGATCCCGACTCCCACGCGGTTCGCGGCGCGTGCACACAGTTTTGAATAAAAATGTGGATTTCCCACCGTCGCTTTTTTTCTTCATATTATCATTTATTTTTTTCTTCTTACATTTGTACTAGAACAAATTCTTTTCCCATGTAATCGGTCTTCGGAGCTGAGTAAATATACTGGTTAACTGACGTGCCGATGTCTGCACTTGAATATCAATATTATTACGTGTGTACACATAATGTCACATTTTTTTCCCGAGACGTTTAATCAAACAGATTTCATGAATGTTTATTTATTATCTTTCTTATATTATTTTTTACTTCACGAGCAAAGGAAATAAACGGTCAATTCGCGTTTTTTTCTTTTCAGTGTAGATGCCACAGATGTACGTCCTACCTACACATTATATCGTGATGTTTAAAACTAGTTTACGTCAAATACCCAATCACTATAAGACACAAACTGTAATGGTAATATATTTTAACAAACATAGCCCATATTTTCGTTTTTGTGCATCGTATTCCGCGTACAATACAATTATAATTCGTGTTTACATAACGTTGTATTGTGAGAGAAATAAAATAATAGCAAAATATCGCAATTTTACGATTACGCGTCGAATCGCATAAAACTCTGACAATTGCCTATGTAACAAATCGCAGGAAAACTCATTATCGTCAAGACACTGAATATACTATAATAATACGTTATTATATTAACATTCGCTAATGTTTATTTGAACACACTGGACGTTATTATAGGTTTTCATTTTTTCATTGCTAAACGGAATCGATGTGAAATAACGACAATGCAATGTAATATATATATTTATATATCATACGTCTAGTCGATTTAAGAACGACTTTCGACTGCGAAGAGAACATAATACATAACAACACCGAAGAACGTATAATAATATTATTAACGTATTATTAAATACTCTCTGGTGCACTGTAGGGAGACATATCTTATGCAAGACTGTGACGAATTTTCAACCGCGTTTTCTTATACCGTGTACGCGTGTTTATTGTGTATTTATCGGTACACACACGTCTGATCTCACCGGAGTTACAATGATTTACACACGTTACATATTATTAAATACGAACCCAACTAGCGTATTATCGATATTATTATTACTCCGATCACGTCGTCGAGTAATAATTACAATACATAAGTTTTACACGCTCGCACGTATAACTATTATACGTAACGGGTCGCGTGTTGGGTTAAAATATACCATTCCACGCGTCGCATCGTCGTAATATATGATACGTACACTACACGCGTATGTGCAATTGCAGTACGCGTGGTCGCACGTCAACCAAACTATATCGTATAGAAAATTATCCGTACGTTTACGTGTAGTTTAATGGTGTTGCACGGACACAAATCATGGTCTATTGTAAAGCGATTGCATTTGATCCGGTGAACCTGACCACCGGTGTGCAGCAGTTCCCCGGCGGGGTTCCTTCTTTTCCGCGCGTATCAAATAAAAAAATTGCGAATATAATATTGTAATGCGTATTATTGTTATTATTATTATTATTATTATTATTATTATTATTATTATGTACACGTACAACAACACATAAGTACACGCTGTACGCACCGATGAACTCGATGAAGCCAAATGCGACCGGAGGCTGCAGGCTGCGCGCGTATTGATGTTGTATTGGAAAAAATCATCGTCAATCTGTATGTATATATATATATATATATATATACCCGTTGGCCGGGAGGGTATACGGTAAAAAACCGAAAAAAAAAAACCACCGGCGTCACGATATAAAACGCCGTCGTCAACAATCTCGGAGCGCATATCCGGTGGTTATTACGATTAATCGCGCTTTATTGGCAAAATAAATAATAAATAAGCGCAACCCGCTGTTGTTTACCTCCGAAAAGAAAAAAATTAGCGGCCTTGCACCGTTATGCTTTACCTCGTCATAACAACAAACCCCTCCGTTCACATTTCTCAGTTTAAAAACTTCACTTGGACATTTATTCATCTTCGCAAGAAAAATGGAAACAAAAACAATATTTTTGATTATAATCATAACGCGTAATGTTGAGTAACTAACCATTTATTCCTATTCCTCCCTTTTGCTGCTCAGTTTCTGCCTTTAGCTGTTACAAAATTTAGGTAAATAATAAATAATACAGTTATTGATAAGACTCCAATCAATTTCACCAACACAAGGTTCTTTTACTTAAGTGGTGAATTGGGTCAAACTTATATGGTGGTTAATTACTATGTTAGTGTTTATATGGTATTTTTTGACATTATTTATCGTTATACTCGTAAAAATATTAAACTGTTTTCTGGCAAAATAAATATATTATAGTTATTCCTTATTGGCAGTTGTCGACCACAATTTATGATAAACGCGAAACGAACATCTGTAACACCAGTGCCGTAGCCAGGGGGGACACTGGGGGCACTTCCCCCCCCCCCCGAAATCCTTTTTTTTTTTTTTTGGTTGGCCAAAATTATATTAATATAGCTATATTAATTAATACATTATTCTATCAATATATGTTTTAACATAATATTTAAATACTTTGTTATTTTTTAATTTTTAAAAATATTATTAAAGAAATAATAATACTTTGTTAATAACAAATAATATAATAATAATATAATAATGTGTTAAATATATGGGTACCATAGTTGTTAGCATATAATGGTAGTCATAAAAATAATAGGTCTGTAGTTAACACTTTATAAGCAAAGGGGCCATAAAGTAATAGGTGATGATTAGGTATTCTAGCATTGCAAAAATTGAGAAAAAAATTAAGTGCCCCGCCCCCAAAAAACAATTTTCTGGCTACGACACTGCGTAACACATTTTCGAAAACAGATGTCAAAAACGCCGCCAGAGGTAAGACAATAATGTAAAAAAAAACTGTGCTGGGTTACCGAAAGCAAAAGTTAAACAAGTAAATATCTTGAAGTTTCCGTGTTGAGATTTCCGCGAGAAAAGAACATTTTCCCGCGTGTTAATAGCAAGGAAAATAACTTTGTTCGGGGGGTTTTTATCGGACACCGTTCGGACCCGGAAGCGTTTCGAAATGTTCCGCGCGAATTATTGTGCGGAACACGGTGCGCGTGCGGTCACCGCGGTGTGCAACGCACACAACGCGCGAGCAACGATCACATAAGGCTGTAAACGAATGAGAGAAAAAAAAATCTTACACGTTTACGTTATATTATTATGGAACGCGAACCGAACGTTAAACAATCCATTAAAAACGACGTCCATTAACGCGCCGCAGTGCTCGACCGGATTACGTTCTGCACGCCCCCCCCTCCGGTACGTTGCCGTGCACGGTCGCTTAACAAGGCGAGGGCCGTACCCGTGTCATACGCTGCGCGCGCCACGGACAAAGTTGAAGTCTCCCGGCCAAGACGAATGTGATGATCACGTAGCGCGCGTCTATCATCGGAATTCGCTATTAGTGATTATAATATCGGTAGCCACTACGTTGTCTAATGGCTGTGTACAGGACGTGTACAATGTAGTGCGATTGCAACGTGGGGTTAAGTGAAAATATTTCAATTAGACTTACGTCCCGTCGTTTCGCAATCAGTTACGATAACAATAATAATAATAATAATAATGATACTATCGCGTGGGTCGTCGTGTCTACAGGGGACCATACACGGAACGATCTATCGTCAAACTTGTCGTCAAACCAATCGGCCGATCAGTTGTCAAACCTGACGCAGTCCACACACCAATGCCCGGTTGCACAAACGATCGATAAAAAGAGTACAATAAGCTATGATAACGGTTCAATAAACAATCGGATAAATAACTTTATTGGTTCCCTAAAGTGCTGTACTGTTGCACAAACAATTCTTTAACATTTTAATGGTTAGTAATCTAACCAAAATTTAGATACCATGATTACAACAATTATCATATATTTTTACTGTTATCAGCGTTAACTGTTATCATTTTTACAGTAATAATATAGTTACAATTTGTACACATTTTATTTTATTGTATTAATAATACGTTCTACGTTTATTATTCTATAGTGATTGTTGTCATAATTACTAATGTAAATTTTACATTGTGAACTGGATAATGTTTTTATACTAAATATGACCCCAAAATATGGTTGCTTGGAAATTTGTACATATATAGTCGGGGACACGAAAAATGAGCATTGGCACCCGCGACCCGTTGTTCGTACCCACTGATGTAGCCATTGGTTCTCAACTTTGTACCGTCACGCTGCCGTTACGTACGTATTCACGGGCACGAATAATGAGCCATAACCGGTTTTATAGGGTGGGCCAGCAGTAGTTTTTTCAATTCTTTTGTATTCCTTACATCCCTTATAAAAAAATAGACATTAAATATTAGAGGGGGAACTGCAGGCACAGTTGTACAGTCGTACAATGTTTTGTCTGCTCTGTCGTTTGCACACTGTGCTGTAGTAAACATACATTTTGTGCGTGCCACGTTTTTATAAATTGTGAATATTTTTATTTTATAAACCATTTTTTTTATATATAAAATGTCGTTTAAAGATCGTGACACTCATAGCCAGAGCAAAAAAATAATTTATAATGTTTATAATTTTATTAAAATGCTGTCGGAGAAAAAAGATTTGACACCAGACTTTTTCAAAAGTAGCCAAAAAGTCGCTGCTGAAGCTTGTGGCGTTTCATATATAACGCTGAGGCGTATATGTGTAGAAGCCAAAAAATCTACAGAACAGGATGTTGAGGAAAGACCATCTTTTAAATCTCCACGAAAATTAAATAAGCGTCAAAAGAAATGTACGGAAATGGATGATTTTGATGCTGACGTAGTTCGTCGAACGGTACATTCGTTTTACGATAAAGGTGAATATCCAACTGCTTTATTAATCTTAAACCACCTTAAAAAAAAAATGCCAAATTATGAAGGATCCGTTAGATCGGTCAGAAGGCTATTAAAAAACTTGAATTGTTCATTTAAAAAATGTAATGATGGTCGAAAAATGCTATTGGAACGAAATTATATTGTTGCTTTACGTTGTAAATTTTTACGTAACATTTGTACACTTCGACAAATGAAAGATTGTCGACCAGTGATTTACCTAGATGAAACCTGGGTAAATCAGAATCATTCACGATCTCATATTTGGCAATATAACGAAGGAACAGAAGGGTTAAAAGTACCAATCGGTAAAGGAGGTCGTCTAATTATTACACACGCTGGGTCATCTCGATACGGGTTAATAGAAGGGTCAAAATTAGTTTTTAAATGTCAAGCGAAAAATTCTATTGACTATCAATGAACGCCGATGTTTTTAAAGTATGGTTTGTAGATATGTTAAAGCTACTTCCCGAACCATGCGTTATTATCATGGATAACGCACCATATCATTCCATGTATATTAATAATTACCCAAAATGTAATGCTCGAAAAGCTGATGTGCAGAATTGGCTGAAAAATCAAGGCGTTAATTTTTCACCACTAGAAACATTAGCTGAATTGCGTGAACGACTTAAATTGTTAATACCGTCGTTTAATAGGTACGAGTTAGACGAAATCGCTTGTTCGATGGGCCATGAAGTAATTCGGCTACCACCGTATCACTGCCAGTACAACCCTATCGAACTCATATGGGCGCAAGTCAAAAGTGAAGTGGCAAAAAAAAATAACACTTTTAAAATGGTGGACGTCGAAAGACTTACAAATGAGGCGTTGGATTCGGTATCAAAAAGTGACTGGGAGAAATGTGTTGAACATGCTGAGAAGATTCAAGATGAAGATTACGAAAAGGAAATATTGAGAGACAGTTTGACGGAGCCAATGATTTTAACATTTGCATCTGATGACAGTGATTTCGGTACTGACGGAGACAGCGAAAACGACGTTGAAGAACTAGAATAAAAATTATTATTTCATTATTATGTTATACTTGTATTTTATTTATTATAAATTGTTAAAAATATTGTACTTTTTTTTACATTATGTACATTATTTATTTGTTCATATCTTATTAAAAAATTAACTATAACAAAATAACCTTATTATTAAATTCTGATAAATGTATGAAAATATTTCAAAAAAAAGCGGGCTTTTAGTTTGCTAATTTGATAACCACTTTAGAAAAACAGCCGCTTGAAGCGTGACGGGCAGCGATCATTTTTCGTGTCCCCGACTTTAATTACATTGCAAAACATGTATAGAACATATACTAGGTACCTATATATATAAGGGTGTTTATATTAAGGTAAACCTTGTCAAAACCATTTATATTTACCCCTGTTTAACCTAATATAGATTTACCTGAATCTATTTTTGAAATCAAAATCATCATAGTTTTCCATAGGATTAAACCGATCTCTGTATAACCGTGGTCGAGGAAGGTTTATCAAAACTTCCACCACATAACGTTCTTCATCAGAATCAGATGAATTCGATGATGATGATGATGATGATAAATACATGGTAAATGATCAAACTTTAGTTTGAACCTAACACTGTTGAATCTGAGAATAAAGTAAAATTATATAGACTACAATTGAACTGATGAAGTTTCAAAAATATTTGATGTGATAATTAATAATAATATTACATTTTACATTATCACAAAATAATTCCATCTTATCAGGCCAATAAAGTTATAGAACTCTTTTGAATATTTATTGAACCGAAATCGGGTCTACAACATATCGAACCGATAATACAATATTTATTGGACTGATAAAACTTATTGGTCCTTTGTGCAACGGGCCAAATTTTTATCGATTCGATAACCTAGTTATTGGTTCGATAACTAGTTATTGGTCCTTCGTGCAACCGGGCACAAATGATTAGTTTGACGATATCTAACCTAACTTTTAAGTTGGTGAAGTTTGTTTTGTTTGTTTATAATGTGATAATGTGATATGGTTTATATCGCAATTGAAAATCGAAATATTATTCGAGTGGTTGCATTTTATAGTTTATGGAATTTTTTCATTTTCGCTTTGTATATTTTTGCGCACAATGAACAAAATAAATCGAAAGAGGAAATTATTGCTGACAACTGCTCTTGTTTTGTCTGTGGATGATGATGACGATACACAAAAAAGAGGAAATGGTCAAAACAGTGGCTTTTAGAACGTCGAATATATTCGCATATGAATTTGCTACGTGAATTGCAGTTCTGTGTCATCATCTAAACTGGATATTCCCACTCTGCCACTCTCATCTTCTGTAGTAAAAGACAATAAGTCATAGTACCATAACGTTGGTACGTAAATTTCATCAGCAGATGAGCCGGTAGTTTTTGATTCCAAGACTTTGTTTAGCTCTCTTCTAAATGCAGTCCGTAGGTTATTTATTTTACGTTTTACAAAAGCTGCATTAGCATCTTTAAATTTTTCTTGACACACCTTTAACAAGTCTTCGATACCTAAGTTCCTCAAATGTTTATTTTTGGATACATTACTTTTGGTATTCCACAGAGCTGGATGACGTTTATAAGTTTCTAAAAACTCAGTCACAAATGGTTTGTTTTAATCCATTTTATAGCGGTACGTAAATAGAATATTAAAATATAACGTCAAACACAAAAGAAATTCGGATTTCGGAATAAAAATTAAAATTTAGTGTTAATAAATGTATAATAATCAATGATAATAATAGTGATAACAATGTTGAGTAGTTCACTTTGTCAGACAGTTACATACACGCACAAACCGCGTCTGTCATCGTTCAGTTGGTCGTCCGGTTGATACGTCAAAACTTACGACCGACGATCAGACGGAAAACTTACAAACACGTCCATACACGTGACGATTTGGTCTGTCAAACGTTGCTTGACGACAAGTTTGACGATAGATCGTTCCGTAAATGGGACCCTTAAGCGTACAAACGCCGCCGGTTGGAAGCTATTAAATGCCGAGGGGGAGGGGGGGTGCGTCCTAGTCGGGTCCTGAACACCAGGAGTGATAAAATGTAGTTGTGTTCCGATTTAGTTAACAACCTGGTTATATCAGTACAAACCAGGATTCAATCGTCCCGAGAGAACCAGGCGTGGATTCAGAGGGTCGGTAGGGGCGACCTCCCCCCCGTTGGCCGTTTCAAAATGCGTTAATTTAATTTGATGTACTATTAAATTGCATTATCTTGCGTAATAACATTCTAATGTATTGTTATTATCACACATTTTCGTCTTTTATTTTTATAACATAAATTAATGAATAGTCGATAAGAACAATATTATTCTGACCGATGATCGACGAAAACCGTCAGCCGGCCAGCCCCAGCCGACTCAAGAGTATACTTATTTATAATCCGCCCCTCCCATTATGGTAGGCTGGATCCCTGCCTGTAGAGAACAAATCCTAGTATCCAAATGATTAATTAACTCAATGTGTTTCACACCACCCGAATAATAATAAAAATAAAAATCCATCCGTACCGTAATAAAATAAAAACATACAATCGCATTTGCGCATACGTACGAGTATATGACGGTTAACACATCGAAACGGTCGGTTCGGAGTGTTTGTCCACGGCTATTAAGACCCGGTCAACTGTTGGGTTTCGGTTGTAAACGAACAACCAACACTCCTCGCGACTGAAGGCACCACTATGGTTGATTTCCCGTCACCGAAACGATGTGTTTTTCGACCCTCTCGACAATCATTCGTTTTCTCACTAATCACGATCCTACCACGATTCCGTGTGCTTTGCGATTTAATTCGCGTTCGAGTATAGTTCACCGTTTTGTACCACCAATCGTTCCCGTGACGGTCAAGATGCGTTGCCCACGAGGACCCGTTCCCACTCTTGTCCGATAAACAATACTTTTTACCGCGTTCACTTGGTAGTGTTTATTTAGACGTTTATTTATTCTGACGTACGCGTTTATTCGTATTGCTGCAATGTAAATGTTCTGCACTTCGGGCCGTCACAATATATTTGTAATAATAAAAATAAAAACAAAAATTAATTATTGTCAACAGGTGCGTGATGACCAGGCAGCGATGACATGGAGGCGGCAGCCAGCGTGGTACAGATGACAGGAGGTGGTGGACGGGTGGGGATGAGCACGGACATGTTCCTGTTGCCGTCCAGCCCGTACACGTCACCACCGGGGTTGATAATCACTACGGGATCGCCCAACGCAGGCGTCCACCAGTACGCCGCGGCCACGCTCACTCTATTGCGTCGCGACGCTTGGGTGTTGCCGGTGTTTATACTGTCGGTGCTCACCATGACCTTGATCATGACATTCGAGGTGATTAAAAAACAATAATAGAACAACCATCCAGATCATCCCCATCGTCCGATTATACGCATTATACGCGCAGCGTTATATTTTTAATTTTATTATTACTATACGCATGGACGTGTACGCAGTGGAGTACATACTTTAAAGTCACCGAAGTCCAACGTAATTAAACCACGTGGGTCTTGAGCACTACCTTGTACCCCAGTCACCGCTCGCCGAGTAACCGCGTGTACCGGCTGCTGCACTGCACCGCTGCGTGCTTGTACGCGTTATGGTTCATGAGTTTGCTACTGTACGCTTTATTAACTGTTTATTTTCAACTGATTGGTGAACAATTAACTCGGTCGTGTAAACGATTGTTATATACTCGTGTTATATGTATTATAATGAACCCCTTAAAAAAAAGCCAAATCGTCTAGCTTTGGATTATTCGTAGGCGATTCGTAGACGATTTTCGAATCATCTCTGCGAAACTTGCTCCGGGCCATTTTCACACTACCATCGCTTCAACTGGTCTCTAGACCAGTGTTTCCCAACTTCTTTTACACGCGGAACCTTTGCAAGAGCTTAAACGTTTTGTGAAACCCCAATATTTTTTCTATAATATTAATAAAGACATATGTATTGTACACTTAAATAAGTGGGTTATCGAACACTTCCGGCACAAGAGTGCCATTAGTATAAAAAAAACAAGACGGCTTTAATATTTTATTTTGTTTAATACTATTACAATATTATAAATGTACCTACATATCAAAGCTTAAAATCCAATATTTGCCTCTCATTACCTCTAAGATAGATTCAATGAGAAGATTGGAATCATTCCATAGTTTTTTTCATCACTGTTTTTAAATCTGGAGTTATTCCTGAAAGTTGGTTTTGTAAGTCCGGAGACGCATTCACTTGATTTCGAAACTTAGTCTTTTTATACGCTGAAAAGCTACAAACTACGAACCTCATATCGGGAAATGTTTCGATTTCAGTTCTATGTTGAGTTCTATGTTGAAATAATAGTTAAAATCAAAATATTGCTAATTAATTTATATTTTCCCAAATTTCTCCCGGAACCCTTCGCACAAACTCACAGAACCCTTAGGTTCCGCGGAACACAAGTTGAAAAACACTGCTCTAGACCACCCACACATCATTCATGTATACATTATAATATATTACCCGTTATACAGAAAACACTGCGTGACTACCGTTTACGTTAGAAAACGAATATAAATTATGTATCTATATGTTTATAACTGTATATATTTACGCATAGATTTCGAAAAATAATTTTTTTTTTAAAATAAGTTATTTCTCTTCATAATAACTAATTGCTTATAACTAGGGCAGAGGATTTATAGCTCTAAAAAATAACCAAATATGCACGTTAATATACAAAATATCCATTTTAAAATGAATAATTTTGAACAAAAAAAAGAATTTTTCTGTAGGTACTTATTATAATGAATACATTTTATTTAAAACTTTATTTAACAACTTACAAGTTACAATTAATTTATTGGGTTTATTTTATGGGTTTTCTTATCTAGATACTTTAGGCATTTTTTATAATAAATAGTAAATAAAACGTGTTTGGACTGTTAACCGTTGAGAAACAGCGATTATTGAAATAGGAATATGTCCGATGTCGGCGACGGGCGTCCCTATGACCCGTATCAATATTTTGTGCGTTGAACAATATTATCTCATCTGTCTATAAAATTAATAACCCGATAATCAATCTAATTGACAACTCTCTAGACGTGTTTTTAGAAAAATCATGATGGGTCTGGGAAAAGTCACAAACCCATATTAATATTATGATCAAAATTTAAAATAATTATAAATTCAACGTTATTTTGTTTAATAAATAAATAAATAAAAACGTCGACGAAAAAATATTGATAAAATGATAAATTATTTTAAAAATACTTCTTAAAGTATAAAATGGAAGAAATATGCTCTAAAAACAAAAAAAAACGCAAAATATGTATTTATATGCACAGTAAAATTTAAAAACTATTTTTGTGACTGTGCAAAAAAAAAATGCAAATGCTATAAGTCCTCTGCTCTACTTATAACACACGAGTCAAAACTTCTCCTTAAGTTGACTTGCGTCGTTTTTAAAAACGATTGTACTCGAAATTATCAGTCTTAACGTTCTAATGGTGTACGATAATATTGCAACATGTCATTAATTGAAACGTATCAGATAAATAATAAATTTAATCCAAGTATGAAAAATGTGTTTTAAATAAGATATAGCCAATGTTCCTTTTTGTGTGATCTGTGATAATGTATTTAGATTTACAAAAGATCACATGAACATCGTATTCTGAAAACGATTGCGTGAAAAAGATTGTGGGTATATATTTACAGATCTTGAATATCCTAAAGAAAAAAAATATCAATTGCTAATTCATGAAAACAATTTTCAAATCGTATAAATCCAACTGACAACTAATTAATTTTATCGGTTGAGCAAAACAGTTTCAAGTTTTTATTTTTCCAATTTTCCTCAAACGCTGGTGACGTGACAACGTTCTAATACCAATGCGCAGTACGTTTTACGTATTATGTAAAAATAGTACAGCAACGAAGTGTAAAAAAATGTGTTCAACAATATTATTAAAAACGACCAGGAAATCTAATGATTTCACAGTGTTGTCTTTTTCGGATGCATGCCGAAAACAGCTAGTTCAAAAATCCGAAAATAACTTTTTCTCTTTGCCTACGCAGATATTCGTGTTGTGCAAGACGAGGAAGACGGAGCCCAGCAGGAGACACCTGTTTCTGGGACAGGCGCTGTTGGGTGGTCTGTTTATGTGCGCCGCGGTCAGCGGTCTCATGTGTACTCAGCCGACCGTCTTGACATGCGCCACCGTCCGACTGTGCACCGGGCTCGGGTACTCGATGGTGTTCGGCACGTTGCTCGTCAAGTGCGTGTTCCTCATTAGCCTCAACGGCGGCGTTTACTTGCCCGCGCCATACCAAGCGCTGTTGCTGTTCTTCACGGTGGCCATACAACTGGCCATCGGTATCCAGTGGCTCATCTACTCGCCCCCGCAACTTATGTCATCTCAAGTAAGCATCACCGGACTGCACTTTTAACACTGCACCACATTATAAAATATCATATATATATACCTATGTATTTTCATCCCGGGGAAGGACATTGTAGGGACATATATGACTTGGGTGGTGGTTTTTTTTTTTATTTTTAGAAATTAGATTTTTTTACCTTGGCAATCTGTATTCGAGACTTAAGTAGATTTTTTTATTATAAGTTATATTGTACTTAGGATATTTTATTTTACTCTTATGCTATCAACATAAAAACATATCTATGCTGTGTAAATAATAATCGTGCATTTTATTAAATAGTTTAGCTTACGTAACCGATACCCTGAAAGTAAAGCCTTATGAACCATTGAGATATGTTTCCCAAATTATACTGGCAGGTTACGACTGGGATATACTGGTTATGACAGGGGAGCCGACGTTTACATTTAATTCTTATTATCAGGACTCATAACTTGTAGCATTTACTATTTTTTTTTTTTGAGGGGTCCTAGAAATACCTATGTGAGCTATATATTTTTTTTTCAAATAACTAAAAAGTTATATACGAAATTTAATGTTGCATATTTTTGCATATTTCAAAATATAAAAGCTATTTTCCTTTATTAAGTCTTTTTAGTCCCATAGAATTTAAAACATTTTTTCTTAATAATAACAAGTAATTATAGTAGTATTCATTTTTTATATTTATAATTAACACATGTTGATTAATTAATTCTTCTTCTTTTGGTTTAAATTACGAGTATATATTTATTTGCGTTATATAATTTTTTTTTACATTTTTTTTCGCATATTTTTGTATTTTAGTGCATATTTAAACACATATGAATATTTTTTTGAGTATATTATAGTACTTATAATTACCATTTTTAGAGCTATAAGTTATAAGCCCTGTTTATTACTTTTCTTCTTTTTGACTGCTTTGCTCACTCCAACATTTTATAGTTGTATATACTTACCTTTGTCTTACTCCTTTTACTTTCTATCTTAACTTCTTACACTCTCCGATACCACCCGATTAACCATTCTTACATCTTATTCCTATGACTTCTTACTATTACGTCTCATCGCCTACTAAACTCATGTCAATCGCCCATATTCTTAGTCATTTTTAGTATCATATTTTTGTTTTTACGTTGACCCCTTCGTCCAGTCTTGTAAAAAATACTTTTCAAAAGTATTCAAGTACAGATACATTTATTTTTTTTCAAAAGTATTTAAAATACCAATTTGAATGCTTGGAAAAAAAAGTATTCAAGTACAAACAAATATTTTTAAAAATTATTTGTAGATACTTTATAGATACTTTCAAATACTTTTTTTTAAATGTGTTATACATTTTTACCTTAATGACCTTATAGGTAAATTAAATCATTAGTAAACCGAATTAACTTTTTTTTTTTAAGAACTATCTAGCTTAGGTTAGTTTTACTTAAATTAATTATAATAAGAATTCATCATTTTTTGGTCTGATGTACCATCAAATACTATAACTTGTACAACAATGTTCCTAATGTATACATTATACAGTCATTAGTTATTTAATACACGTGGCATAGTAACTATTATTATTTACTATCAAGATAATTTAAAACGATAATATAAATGATAACAACAACGGCGATGAAAATATTAATGATCTATAAATAAAAATGTTATACAATTTGTATTATTTTATTAAAATTTGGCGTCCCTGTACATAAAGTAAGAGGAAAAAAGTATTTAAAAATAGTATTTGATTTTAAATACAGATACATTAAAAAAAGTATTCAGATACTGTGCCCAAGTAATTTTTTCAAATATACTTAGAAGAATACGTATTTGAGTACTTAAAATGCATTTGAATACTTTTACTTAAATATTTTTACTCGAGTACTTTTCAAGACTGCCTTTGTTCCACCGGGTCCAGAACGTTGCGTTTTCACGATGATGTACCTATGTATGTTTTGCAGTGGACGAGCAGCCTTGACAACAGCTGTGACACTAAGTACCAACACATGCTGGGCTCGTTGGTGTACGCGGCCGGCCTTCTGTTGGCCGTCACTGTGTTGGCCATTAAGTCGCGGCACATAAGGGACAACTACCGCGAAGCAATGTACATCGGACTGGCCGTGGGCTGCACAGCGCCGCTGTGTGTGGGTTGGGCTGTGGCCGGACTCTGGGCCACGCAGCCGGGAGACCAGGACGGGTGTCTAGCGTTGGGCCTGGGCGCCACGGCTGCACTCATCCTGCTCATCATGTTCATGCCCAAAGGTCGGCAGCTGGCCGCCATGGGTCGGGACGGTCTGTACGATGAGGACAAGCTCAGCACGCTCAGTAGACCTGCATCCCCGTCGTTTTTCCATTTCAAACCGTTCATGACTCCTATGAAGCACACGTCGACAATCAACACGTTCGGAGGTAAGCCGCACCGTGAGTGTTATAAGACTGAATATAATTCAGTGATGGCCAAAGGGTTCACCAACCAAAACTTGAATCTCTTTTGTAACAATTAGTATTTTTGTAACTTACAAAAATCGTGATGCCATAATTTCATTGGTCAAAATATCTCGTTTCATTTGCCGATAAAAATGTACAAATTCAAAGTATAAAACTGGTAAAACTTAATTATTCATACTGTTTTATTTATTTATTTTCTTTGTATTCGTGCTGTTGCACAAAATAATATAAGGTTTTGAATTAAAAGGTTAAAAATATACGAGTGAATAAAATATTTACGGATTAAGATTACTGTTGCAGTGTGAGCGTTAATAATTAATTATTAATTATTGTCACAACAATAATGAAATAATATTTACTTTGGAACAGAGAAAATACAGTTTAAAGTGGTAACATTTGTTCACATTTTTAACGCGAAGAGAGATCATAAAAATATTGAGTGTGATAAATGAAAAACCATAATAATAATTGTATTCATCAAAGTTTACCAATGCATACGCCCCCAATACGTTTTTTCGGTTGACAATTATTTGTAAAAAACGTGCGTTGGGGCCGTTAGCGTAAAATAATATTACGCGCACACCGGTCACCTGTTGTAAATGTGTGCACTAAATGTGATTTCACCACCGACCGACTTAGTGTGTATGTGTGTATAATTGTATGTAGCTTCGTCAGAATGGTTGGGTTCGCCGCACAAATCTGACAAGCTATGTGGTGAGGTGATGTGTGTGCGTGTGTATTTTGTGTTGTGTGTGTTGCTATAAATTAATGAAAACGAGAGGTAACTAAATAATTGTACAAGGTTACTGGTAACTCTGTTGCTGTTTAATTTATTTTTATAAATAATAATAATAAAAAAGACAAATACATAATTAAATAATTCACAACAACAGATATAAATAAATAACAATAAATATAAATAAATAAAACAAAAACTCAATAATTGATGGAGCGCGGACTGGCCAGCTGCAACTATGTACCTAACTACTATAATAATATATAAAATAATAAAAATCGGCGATTTGCGCCTACAAAACAATTAAAGCAAAATAATAAAAACTGGCGATTTTCGCTCAATAAAATAACAATAATAATAATTTCGCCTATGGCGGCACAACACAATTGTATTAACAAAAATAATAAAATGTCATAATAAAAAATATAATACTAATTCGGCCTATGACGGCAATACTAAAACAAAGAAAAATGTGCCTATGGCGGCTGCACAAAAATATAATTAAAAAACGGTCAATGTGAACCCAACGACAGTTCGTACGACATAGGCGACAACAATAATAATGGCACCGGGCCTTTTACAATTATATAACTCGCACACATATAGACGGCAAACAATAACAGATAATAATTAAAAGTATAAACAATGATATGTGTGTGCGTGTACGTGTCGGTCGAGTATCGGAGGTGAACCAAAATAGACCGATGACTGTAAGATTAATAATTATGAGAATAATATGTGTTAGTGGCGCAAACACTAATCATGAGTCTAATTGTTTACCCGCGATGTACCTATCGCCTATTTACGTTCTGTACATGTAATTTCTGTTCCGTTTTATACACGAGTTCGGCACTTCAGCGTAATACATGTTATAAAATATTTAATATGTACTTTTTATATAATATCATAAATAATATTCCGTTCAATATTTATTAATTCAATTTATATTTGGTATTTAACCATTAATAATTGTTACAACTTGTCACACATTTTTATAAATCAGCTTAAATATATAATAATAAAATAATGTTAGTCTTGTAATTAAATGATTAATATATTTTTTTTTAATATTATTTATTATTATTGTAGCTAGAACTGAAACTACCTAATAATAAATAATAATCCATTCAATGTTTATTAATTTAATTTATACTTGGTATTTAACACATTTTTATAAATCAGCTCAAATATATAATAATTAATTGTTATAATTTGTCACAAATTAGTCACACACTTGTTAAACATTTAGGTTTGTAGGTAGGTATATAACATGTATTACGCTGAAGTGCCGAACTCGTGTATAAAACGGAACAGAAATTACTACTCAGGACTATACGTTGATTTAGCACCGAGTGCTAGATTCATATACAGAACGTAAATACGCGTACCGGTCGACGTACAGACACGGAGTGGAACTTACGATTTTTCCCATTAATTTATTTTTAACGATTCCACATTTTTTTCGTATCAAATGCGTACGCACGTATACAATATGGGTTTACATGAGTATTCCACGAAACCGTGTTGCGCGTGTACCCAAATGGCGAATCCGTAAATAATAAACTTATCATTTTACCAAAATCCAGCGTTGACTCTTAAAACCGCACACTTTTGATTTCGTCCCCTAAAAGGTTATACTTACCTAGATTAGTTTTACTTTATAATTTATAATTTATTCAAACAAAAAAAAAAAAAAATTAATAAAATCGTATTCTAAAAAGTAAAAAAATAAAATTTAAAAATATAAAGTGTGTGAAATAAAGTTTGATTGGCTGAAATCTAGTAGGTACCGACATTTTTAAAAACCTCATATGATCTTCGTCGATTAAAAATTCTTCCCACCATTCAAGTGTTTCTAAAATAAATACAATTTAATTAAAAATTAAAGTATTAAAACGTATTAGCGTGATTAATGCAGTTTATCCAATAATCTTATTTTATTTTATCAGTTATTTGGTACTAAAAATATTTTACGGTTTTAACCCCTATAAGTTTGGGGTATTTTGTTATACAATGAGCGATAAAGTGAACGTTTTTTGTCGATCGACCTTTTTCGGGTCAAAATCAAAAGTATGCGGTTTTCGGATGCAACCGAACCCGATACGGAATTGGTATGAAACACGTCGTGCAATCGCACAATTCTATACATATATGTCAACCGACGATTGAATACTCGATTGGTGCCTTTTTAACGCGTGTCATCTAATACATTCTACATTTTCGTTTTCGGTTAGAGGTATGTGATTCACCGTCCACGTGTTTATAGTGTGTACGCATTGTGCGTGTTTGTGATGAACCAATTACATTCATCGAAGGCACCTACTTATTTTTTTTTTTACTCGTTTTAGTCGGTCATCTTCTGTACGACAATTTCGTACTCTTCGTGTCGATTGTATACAGCTATCGTAATATAATGCACACAATCGTGTTGTAAAATCAATAATTGTTCTAAACGACGATCAATGTAACTGCAGGCCAGGGGTGGATCCAGACTGAGATAATGGGGGGGGGGATTTTTAACGGACACACATGATATAGATATTTATATAAGTAAAATTAAAAATATTAATTTTGATATAGGTTTGATTACGATTGAGAACGCCCCAGTTTTTTTTCCAACGTTGCCAAATGTGATTGATCGATAATATGAGTACAATTATCTGTTGATATTTATCAGACTTACATCGGATTAGCTGGATGTGAAAAGTAACTTAGATACCAGATACGAGAAAATGACGGTTAGGCTTTGCAGTCGTCGCACAAACTATTCGTCAATATATTTCATAATTTTATAAGTTCTATATATTTTACAATTTTTTTGTACATATATACACTATACAGGTATTAGATATTTTTATAAGCCCTACATATTTTTAATTTTTTATTCATATTATATATTACAAATTATTGGTCGCTTATTTGTATACGATTATAATTATTAATTTATGACTTTTTTCATGAATATTTATTATATGTATACTGAATTTTTCAAAAGCCAATTAAATGATATGACAAACTATGGCAGCGTTACACATAAACTAGTTCTCAATCGTATCGTTTTTCGGGTTTTTTTTGGATCAACGATAAGTTCTTTGTTATTTTTAAGTGTTCTCAATTGTTCGGCCAAAAAGGTATAACGTTCTCAATCATTCGATAGCCTTTACAACGGGTACGGAAATGTACGAGTTTATGGTTTCGGACACGATTTCGGGCACACACGCGCGTGCCATACGAGAGAGGTCCGCATTCGTTCTACAATCAACATGGAACGAGCGCGCTGCCGGTTTATTGGAGCGCACACCCTCGTTCGTACACGTGTTGTTGTTATTGACTTTAAACGCGTCGACAATGATGAATTATGACACGTGCGTCATTACCGGTTACCTGTATTTCCGGTTGTACGTATGCATACTTCTTTCGGTCACTTCTGTTAAACGGTGTTTAATTTTACGTGCTCATGACTTGCAACGCAATACTTTATGACAATACCGCGTGCAGTTGAGGCGGAAAACGCTCCTGATCGGAGTATGCATGCGCTTGTACGAAACTTGACGGATACCCACCTGTTAGGATTTTTTTCTTAACAGTCGGTGCCATTTGCTTGCAATACTCCTCGTATCATTACATTATAGTTACCCAAAACTTGGTGGTAAAATCAAATCAATAATTTGGAGCTTGGTCAGGGACATCGGTTGTGCTTGAATTTTGGTTGTTCTCCAGCGCTGTGTGTATGAACGAACTTCTTCGACCCTAGGTTTATAAATCATACTCATCGTGACGTTTAGCAAAAAAAGTTAGTGATCTTTTTTCTTCAGCCGAGACAACAATTATTATCAATACGTACTCGCATAAGATGTACACGTGATGTATTAAATATGGTTAATATTTATAATATAAATAAAAAAAAGTTCTATGCGCGGAATGGACGTTGCTTTAGCTCCCTAACATCCCAATAAAATCCGTCAATTCATCTCCATCCTCACGACTGAAAATATATCGACTATAACAGCTAAAGTACTTTTGTGATTTTCAGCACGTGAATGCGAGAACAATTTTTTCCTTCGTATCATAATACGTACAACCAGAGGCGTATTTAGGGGGTGATATGGATGTTGGAACCCCCCCCCCCCCCCCATCGACCGTATTTTATGTTATTTTACCAAATTGCAAACTTAATTACAGTATAATTTAACTAAACGTAGATATATGTAAATATAATCATTTTCATTAATATAATAATTTATATAAATATATGGTATTAATAAATGTAAGGAGAAGGGGGGGGGCAGAACCCCCACTTATTATAAGTCTATTCAATTTTAAAACACCCCCGTTAAATAAATCCTTGATACGCCATTGCGTACAACACTTGTTGCTTTCAGTCTCATCGCGTATCAGAATATACTGTTATTCAGGTCGGAAACTTTTTGGAAACTTTTTTTTTGCAGAGATTAAAAAGGAAATGTTAAAATACACTGATTCCGATGACGATATCTCTCGCATCTGCATCGTAATTTACATTTCTCGGGAACGATTACGTTTTCGTTTTTGTAAAAATCACCATCGCATACGTTATATCTAATTATTAGGTATTCTTAATGAATATACAGCACGCGTTACGCAGTGGCGCGCGGTTACGTGAATTTCATTAAGATCTAACTTGTAATAATACTATTTTCCTATTATACCATTTCGTTTAATTTACAGACCGAGTGGCGCTCGTCGCTCCGCCGACCTACGCTCATCATTATTACCCGTATTGTTACTATCCGCAACACGGAATAAGCAGTGCTGGCGGCGGCGGTGGCGGAGGAATCGGAGGCGGTCACCATGGTGGTGGTCATCAACAGTCCATCTATTCAAGATGTCCACCTGGTATAACACAATAAAATGTTTAACTCGTTTTTCATTTATACCTGTAGTGTTTACTGTAATTCGTAATACGAAACACCGAAATCAAACACGAATATAATAACATTCTCAACGCGCCCCGGATAAAGCCTTGTCGTAGTGACTAACAAGCTTTTTTTTTCGGCAAATCACTTTTTAAGTTAAATTGTTTCAGAAATCAAATAGTGGATCCATCACATAGCAACGAACGTTGATTAAAGTTTTAAACAACCATGTCAAATTTTCGAAAAATCAACACCAAACAATTAATACACTGTTATAGTTTCAAAATCGTTGATCGAAAGCGACGATATTCATACTAAAAATTCCAAAATATTTATATTCCTTTTTCCAATATACATTTATTTGTGTATTTATTAATATATTAACGGTCCATACATTCGCGAAAAAAGTATTTCATATAATTTGAACGGTTTTTAAAATTTAAACAATGATCATTTTGACTTGTACGCGTGAATGAGTAGTTTTTAATGAACGAATTAAAAGTAGGCGCTCACGTGATAATGAACTCTGATATTTTGTTGGCAGTACTATACTGATAAATTAAACGTTCTTTTTTTGTTGTTTTTTTTTTTTATAGACATGTGCAATTTTTCGGGAATGGACAATAGCATATACACCACGATGGAACCAACCATGTCCAACAACCCTAACGTGTTTTTCCACCGTTCCGGTATCCACCCCGGGATGATGTACTGATTATTGTTTAAGAGAATACTACTTGATTATGTTTAATTTTTATTTGATTTTGTACTTATTTTTTTTTCTTATCATTATTTATAAATAATAGAACATTTTAAATGATATAACAATGATATATTGTACACGTTAGTGGTGCGTGAACGAATTAAGACAGCCACGTATATGTGACGAATTTACCAACCGTGTAAAACGAAAAACACACGTACATTGCAATACAACAAATATAAAGTGCATTGTACAACAGGGATAGAAAGATAGGTACACATGATCTCTTGTGATTAATATAATAATATTTTAAACCATTTTTCGATCGAAACACTGCGCGGTCGGCTTTAATTCATAACACCACGACGCACACAATGCGCACAAACTATCCTATACGTTCAATCTGTACACGTAAAGAGTACAGATTTGGTTCGTCGTCGGCATAGCCGGTATAATATGATGCACATAACAAAAAAAATTATAATTTGCGCTGTACCATGGTTATTTTCGCTTTCGAAGTCTTTTTCGCGATCGCCGTTTCCTTCTTATGCGTGTATAGACCACGTCTCGTTCTCGTTAACCTACTGGTATAAAAATATTCGCACCATACATAAATCAACAAAAAAAAAAAAAAGTAAATAAATAAAAAATAAATAAAATAATCGTACGGTTTTTTCTACAACAAATAAAAAAAACGTACCAACGGCATAGCACGTAAGGAAATATAATGTACTATTTTACTTGTACACGTTTCACGACCGGCACTTACTTTGTTCTAAGATTTGATGCCATTTTTTTTTAATTATTATTATTAATATTAATAATTGGGCCGATATTCGTCTGAGATACAGATACTATATTTATACGTTTTGTATATATTATATACGTATGTACCCATAACACGCGTTTGTATATTATATTATGAAATGTTATATATATTATATGTTTTGGATGCAATTAATGATATTATATTGTTATGTATAAGCGACAGTGTATATTATGCGGACAGTAATTTAGTTATACTTTGTTAATATTTTATTTTTATTTTGTATAGATTTATATACATAATATAGATTTTAAACATATATATATCTCGGTAAGAATCAATTTATTTAGACATAAAATGCGCAATCTTGACTAAAAATTTTAATTTCTTTATACTTCGTTAATTTTTATAATAAATATAAATGTATTGTAGAGGTATAGTAACGTTAACATTATTTTTTTAAGGGGAAAGTGGATGAATTTCAGTGCCAAAAGATGCGCTTCCATAAAATCGCAATATCTTCTATATAGTTTTTTTTTTTTTTTTTTTTAAACTGGCAAAGTGTAAATAATATTGATTTTCAAAACTATTACTTTAACACGTTTTTATTTCGTAAGTAAAATATATATATAACTGCTGTATCTGTATTATATTTATGATAATATTATTTGGTAAAGATTACCATTAAAATTACATATAACATTTAAAATTGCTAAATATTTTAAGGACTGCTGCTTAATGTGATAAGCGTACTATATACTAATGGTTTAATAATACAGTTGTACATTTTACGTATACTTAATCTACAATTTATGTATTAGATTAAATCGGTAAATTATTGCTCATTTAAGATGTAAGACCTTTATATTTCTTAGTAATAATTAGATGTATTTTTGTAATTTTTATGGTTATAACTCAATATGAAATAAACAGTACAATTTCTTATTAATAATAAACTGATGTTGATATTGTTCAATGGGTATTACTGATACATAATTATTTTTCCGGCTAAAGATCAATATTACTTTGAAGTTCGAATTCATTATTATCATTAAATTATTTATTATTACCCAAAATGTATATTTTATCAATGTAATATATGAATGATATTGCTTTATTGATATACCAGATAATACGAGTAAAATTAAGTAATAATAATGTCTTCTTAATTCTTTATATAATTCAAGATTTAACATATTACCAAAAGCTACAATTACATAGGAGTGGTTTACAATCAAATCATTTCTTGTTCAAATATTCAAATATGATATCTAACATTATAGCATATATATATCATGTATATCAACATAATAAAAAAAAAATTGACAATCGTACTCTCCAAATCCGCTAATAATTTTTGACGTATTTATGATTTTATTTGAAAAAAAATTCTTCTTCGTGAAGTTTAATAATATGAAATATCATTTTTTTTACAATAGTATAATTTTATTCTGTATTTATTATTAAAAATAGCAATAAACCGATAAGAAATTCACGAAATAATTATTACATAAATAAACCCTCATATTTCAGTCGGTGGCAATATTAGCCCGCCATACACGAATGGATTTTTGAAAGGACCAGGTCTGATGGATTAAATCCGTAGGTCTTTGATGAATTTGGTCCGCTGACTTGATCCTCTGTACTACCCACTAACGTTAAAATAAAGATCCTTTGAATAAAACGGATTGGATCTCTCAAAAGACCTAGTCCGTTCATGTATGGAGTCACTTTTTGGTAGTTTTCATAGGATTTGTTCCGTAGGACTATATCCACTGATCTTTTAGTAAGTCTTAAAAGACCATGGTATTTTAAGTTGTGTAATTTATCTAAAACGAAGTTTTTTCAACCGAAATTTTTACGTGCCTATAATCTACAATGGATAACAGAATAAAAATGAATAGGATAAGTATGAACAAAAAAAAAAATTGTTGCCGCAGCTGGTCTCGTTGCTGTATATAAACTATATTTCGAAACGAAAAAATAGGACAAAATGGGTTAAAAATTGGATTGCTAACAGAAATATATTTGGCCATATGACAGTACACCGTGAATTGAGTGCCAACGAACCAAACGATTTAAAAAATTATTTGAGAATGTCAGCATCAGATTTCAATTTGATCGACTAACTCAATATATGTTGTATTTTTAAGGTTCTTATTTTTATATTCATCTGAGCTAATTTTCCACAGACACTCTTTAGATCTCTAATGATCGATGAAGTCACTTAAGACAGACCTACTCCACTCCATTATGTATCTTATGTTATAACTACACTTTTACTTAAACGAGCAGCAGTACTGCAGTAGTGATAAGCCTGTAGTAAATACTAAATACTAAGTTGCATGAACAAGTTTAATAGTAACACAAATCACAATTTCAAACAAACAACTGCTGAATATTTGATACTAGCTGATTAGAAAAATAAGTGATAACGTGAAATTCATTATTATCAATACTACAATACTTTTTGTAGGATCCGGTCCTTATCAATTAGTGGCCGACAAAAGATTTAATCCGTAGGACTTATTCCGTCGGATATTTTGTACCTAAAGGATTCCATCCACGATAACCACATATGAGCGGATTTACCAGAGAACTTGATCCTTCGAGGACCAAATCCTTCCGAAAATCCGCTAGTGTATGGCGGGCTATTCCGATGACGTCAGAGAGACACCGTTTAACTTCACCTCTGAATTATTACTTGTGTATATTAATTACACACACAAGCGCATGTACGTGAATGCACGCGACTGTTTAAATAAGCAGAATTACGTATGCGCAATGATCATCGTGAGGCTCGTTTTTCATCGCCTCTGAGTGCTAAAAATAGATATGGTATACTATGGTCAGCCCGCAGCCGTTACTACGGCACGATCAACAACAAAATATAGATATAAGATAATGACAAACTACATTTACCCGTTTTATTGACACAGCGCCTAATGAAACCGATTTCAATATTAGCTTAAATTTCTGTTGCTGTCTTATTCGAATCATCGTTCATGTTGTTTCGTTTAAATTTGTCTACGCGTGTCGTGCTTTTTATTCGAGTTTTAATGAGTTTTAACATCGTGAATCCAGTTACTGACGAAGTTGTCATGATGTTGGAAACGCCATTTCGACGTTGGAAGTCAGATAGTAAAAATGATTTACTGAAAGTAAGTAAGCCTATTCCGATTTTGTCAGTTTTGACTCCTGACAAAAAAAATCAAGTAAGGTATTCTGTAAATCATTCAGTCCAGATTTATATCAACAACACTCTTGGTTATGTGGAAGTCATTATTTACAGAAATTGTGTTGTTGACCGTGTTTTTTATTGGGTAAAATCAGTGGCGGCTCGTGAGGTTCACATAAGGTGGTGCACAAAAAATGTATAAGATATCTATGTTAGATGGTAAAAAAATTAATTTTGCTTTAGGTAAATACCAAAATAATATACCTACTTATTTTATCTAAATTAAATTTTTTTGAGCATTTTACCCCATTAAAATATAAATAAATTATAAAAAATAACTAACTAATTATTATTAATTTATTATGTATGAATATATACACAATATCTTAGTAATTATAATTTATTATTAGAGCAATACAATCACTATGAATTATTATTATATAAAATTAATCAGTTGCATTTTTAAAAACTAAATTTATACGTCTATCTTTTTTTTGTATTAACATAACTTCTTCGTTAAAATTAGACATTTCATTAATCATGCTTTTTTCAATAGACAACATAGCTAAAGCATTTAGTCTTTCTTCTACTATTGTATTTCTAAGAAATGTTTTGATTCTTTTAAGAGTTGAGAATGACCTTTCTACTTCTGCCGATGTCATCGAAATTGTTGCAATTATTAATATAAGTTTGCACGATTCTGAAAATACTGATTGTAAATTGTTGTCAATAATAAATTTTAATAAATTTACTGCCCCCGATACGTCACGAAAATCGGTTCGCTTATATATTAATTTTAATTCAGTTTCAAGTTTATTATTATCAAATACAGGATAAGATTCAATTGTTTTGTTGAAATATTGTTGTGGAAATTGTTTTTCATATGAAGGAAAATTCGGAAAATCGCAAAGTTTTGGTTGAAAGTATTTTCAATCTCTTCGAAACATTCTATAATAGATTCACGATTTTCATAAACGGTGTTAATTATACGACTTTTAAAATTCCATCTAGTATTTGGAGATCATGGAATTCTATGGTTAACGATTTTATCTAAAATAGCCACTCTTTGAGGGAAATTTGAAAAAAAGTTTGTGATGTCTGTCAAATTAGAAAAAAAAATTCTATCACGGTTTTGTGTAGTGGCTTTACTTAGAATCAAATTCAATTGATGTGCACAACAATGAATAAAGTGAGCATATTTATATTCATCTCGTATAAGTTTTTGCACACCGGAGAATTGACCACTCATAACGTCGGTTCCATCGTAACTTTGTGAAATCAATTTATCAGTATTTTCTGATACTTCTTTTAAATTATCTTTTATACAATCAGATAATGACTTGGCATCATGTCCCGAGGGAATGAAAAATCCCCAAAATCTTTCAAACGGTGTACCGTCAGATAAAATATATCTAAATTCTATAGACATTTGAAATTGAGATGATATGTCTGTAGTCTCATCGGCAATTATAGAAAAAAAATCAGATTGTTGTATTTAATTTTTTGTATTCTGACGTGTGACAAATAATATACAATCTAACACAGCGTTTCTCAAACTGTGGGTCACGAGTCAATTTTTGGGGGTCTCTAAAAGTTTTTTTAATTATACAGATTGTAAGAAACAAGCACATTCATCACATATGCCTAATTATTAATTAAGTATTATATTATATATATTATATTATATTATTATTATTATTATAAAGTAGTAAATAAGTAATAAAATAGAAAAAATTTGTTTTTTGAAATTATTTTTATTGATTCTGTAAATGTAAAACTATGGTCATGATAGATTTTTGGAAGAAAATTTGGGTCGCGGTCCTAAAAAGATTGAGAACCACTGATCTAACATATCATTTTGAATAACTTTAGAAAGACCTTTAAAGACTGTTGACTTTTCAATATGTATTTTTAATTTATTGTCTAATTCTACACTAAAATTAATCAATCCATGAAATATACCAGGATTTACATAATCAGATTTCTCGTTGTGTCCACGAAAAGCTAACTTGAAAGCCCCACAACATTTAATGCGGTCAACTATTTTTGATAAAATGTAACGGTTATGGGCTACGGTTTCATTATATTTTTTTATAGATAATCTGTATGCACTTGAGAGCTGTTGCCTACTATCTTGTTTTCCTAGAAGATTTAAACTTAAATGCGAATTAATGTGAGAAATTGATTTTTCATGCATTATGATTTTCAAACTTAAATGAATCAAATCATTTATACCATTTTGTACCCAATTATTATCCCCAGATTTTCGAGAAAATAATATACAAGGAAAACAAAAAGGGTGATTTACTTTGGAACAACTGCATAACCATTCATGCTTTTTGTAAATGTCATAATTAAAACTTCGTTTAAATTCTCTAGACTTAGACTTTGTAGTTTGAGAGATACTGAAATTAGGTGTTGGCCTGCCTTCATTTTTTATTTCCGGGGATAAAGTTGAAAAGCTGATATTTAATAAATATTCAACAGTAACCATAATGTTTGATAGATTACAAACAAAAAAATTAAAACTTCAGCACTCACCAAAAATAATAATAAAAGTATTAAATTAATAATAATATTAATGTTCGTACAAAGAATCTAATAAACGCAAACCTCACACGACACGTTGTTTGACGAAACTAATGGCGAATAATAATAATAGCTGATCACATATTCACATCATAACAATCTGTTTTTGTATTATAATATAATTGTTGATATTATACAATAATTATAGACTATAGTATTTATTTATAGTTAATATATTATATTATATTATTTATTTATATTTGATGGCACACTGGCGGCAGTTGATGGATAATGTACAATGATGCATTATCGTTTCGACGAATGACGTGATATCGCGATAACGCGACACGATAAAATAGGTTCGGTGCATAGATTAAATGTGCTCCGAATTGCCATGTATTACTAACCGACGTTATGTAGCTAATTTTACACGGCCGCCCGGAGCACAAATCATTTGTATTGATATTCGTTTATAGACACATTTCTTAACATAAAAGTTACAAAAACTTTTTTTATTAATATATATTTTATATAAATTACAGACCATTTGAATAATAATCAATTACATGTTACTATAGAAATCTAATAATTTTTTATATAATTTGTTTGGGTTGTTCACGTGCTCCTGTGCTTCATACCACGAGCCGCCACTGGGTAAAATTCAGTCTGTTTGGATTACTATTGGTTATTATGATTTAAAAAATGTATTTAGGAGTATACTAATATACAGTGGCGCATAGAACATTTTTTGTGTGTGAGGCTTAATGCATTTTTATTTTTAGTAGCACCACCACCGTTACAACCAATATATTACCTCATATAAAAAACTTAATAAAACATTTTTAGGAATAATTTTAAAAAGATGTTTCCAAGTATTTAAATCATTACGAATTACGAGTAATATATAAATACATAAACACGACAAACGTTGTAATAGATTTATGTTAATTAATATATTTTAATATTATTATATTATATTGTATAATTATGCATCATTTGAAAATTAATGCTTTTATTGGTACTTCAGATGAATGTCCAAAAGCATTAATTGCATCTTCATAATTAATGGATACATCTCTTTCACAACCAAAAAACATTAAACTTTCAAGTCGATCTTGGTATATAGTTGAACGCAACCTTGACTTAATTATCTTCACCTAAAAAGTTATTATATTTTAAGTATATAATATAAACAATTAGTTTAATAAGATTATTTTTTTTTAATTTTACCTTAGAAAAAGACCTTTCAGTTGATGATGATGAAACTGGTAATGTTCCTAATGCCTTAAATGCTATGTGAAGATTTGGAAATGCTGCCTGTAAATCATAAGTTGATAAAATATATAAGATTTTATCAATTCCTATTTCTTTTTTTACTGATTTGTTTTGTTCAATTTCGTCATCGCTTGTAAGAGATTCACTTTCAGAATTTGGTTCACTATGAGATTCTTGATGTATGATTAATGTTATATCGTAACCAGATATAAGTTCTTTATAACTTTTTGAAAATATTGTATACTCATTTTTTATTTGATCTAAATTAATACAAGGTATCCAAGAAGACAATTTAGAAAAACTATCTTTTGGTAGTGGTTTGTTATTTTTGCTATAATATTTCAACCGCTCTGGAGATAAAAGAGTTAAATCTTTTAAGATATCTCTAGCTCCAGAAAATCTACTCTGTATTGATATATTGACTTTATCTAAGACTTTGCAATATGTTTCACATCTATACTCAATGAAAGGTGAACTTATCATCTCATCAGCAATTTTTTCACCAGGTAATTTTTTTTTGACACGTTGTCTAAAATCTTTAAAGTATACTTCAGTAAGTTGATTTTCTTTAGCAAAATATTTTGCCTCATTCATTGTTTTATCAAATTCTGAATTACATCATAAACTGATAAGCTGTTTTCTGACACATCAGTCAAACGAAGAGCTTTAATAAAATCGAGCGACTTAGATTGTAAGTAATTTGAAAGTGGTGATTGCAAAAATTTTTTTTAGTAGTATCATTGCTAAAACAAAATTAAATGTTTTAATAATTTTTAAATAAATGTTTGCTCCCGAAGCAGTGATCCGATCATCAGACTTTGAGAGGTTACATAAACACGTTGTTAATGCTTTAAACTTGGAATAAACTAAATTTATCACACGGCCATGTGAGGTCCGTCCATCTAGTATTTGAAAATGACTTTAGTTTTAGAATTCGTTCAGTTGGTTGCAATTTTTTTGACAGTCAACAAACTCCGCTATTCTTTTTCTAGCTCTCATAAAAACCATTAGACCCTGAAGTACTCTAAGGAACTGTCTAGTATGAAAACTTGAATCAGCAGTATCAACTAAAACTAAATTTAAAAGGTGTGCAAAACACCAAATATAAATAGTTTTATGGTTTTGTTGCTGAATCAATGTCTTGAGTCCCGAATATTATCCCTGCATGGACGCTGCTCTATTATAGAATTGAGCATACAAATAACTTTGCCAATTTAAGTTATAGTTATCTGTTATATTACAAAACTCTTGAAATAAACCTTTACCTGTTCCATCAGATGTAGTGACAAGCGCAACAAGTCGTTCTTGAATATACCCTTTGTATACATAACGTGCAATTAATGTGAATTGTTTCAAGTTTGAAATATCTGTTGTTGTATCAATAATCACAGAGAACATTTGTGAAAGTTTTATTTCATCCAATATTTTTGCACGAACTTGTTCCTTCAATATATCTAATAATGCATTTTGACTATTATTAGATAAAAATGTAAAGACGATTACGATCCTTCAACTTAATTTTATTTAAATGATTTTTTAAAGTTGGATGATAATCTCTTAAAAGATATATTAGTTCCAAAAAATTGCCTTTATTTAATGATGAATGTTTTTCATTATGACTTCTTAGAGCTATATTTTGACGGGAAATAAAAACTAGAGCATCGATAATTGTTCTAACGATTTCTCGATTTTCTTCAACTGTTCGATTAGCCGAGTGTATAATTTCTACTTTAAGATCTAACTTCAATCTTTTGGTAAACAGATTCCTATTTATTTCTGATTCTAAATGTTCGGAAAATTTTTCATGATTTTTAATAACTCTTAAAATATTTTTCCTATCACACAAACTGAAGAAACTAAATTTTGTTTTTTGGCTTTGTGTAATCCAAATAATTTGCAGGAAATGCAGAAGATTTTATTTTCAACTTGCTTAAAGTAGTATGATTCATGAAATGAACGAAATTTACCATTTGAATCATATGTTTTTGGAAACTCCTTACTTGATAAGTTATGAGAAGAAGGTTGACATATTCAACAAAATATGACTGCAATGTAACTGGAACAGAGTTTGGAATTCTAGCTGGATCATTTTTGAAAGCATAAGAATAATTTATATGGTCTTCAGATATTGCTGAATCATTTTGAAAGGTGTTGTAATCATAATCAAAGTTGACATCACCTATAGAATAATTAAAAACGATGGTATTTATGTTCAAACTTAATTAATTTTTAACAATAGTATATTTTACTACATAAATATTTATTTTTTATTAGATTAATATTTTGAATAATTTTCATGAATATAAAAAAATTATATATTATATATTTACATAATTGCGTAAAATAACAATTTAGTCTTCAACGGTTTTTGATATTTGTTCTTATTCAAAAAGTATAACGCCGTGTCCTATGTGAATCCGGCGAGTGCGGCGAACGCATTGCGGTGCGTGCGATGCGGTGACCAAAATAAACAAACCTGTGATAACATGTCTGCGTTTCCAATGTGCCGCCGCAATCGCCGCACTTGCGTGCGATCGAATTCGTTCGCACGCACCGGACAATTTGAAAAACAAATCATTTTGTTTTTGTCGCCGCACAAAGCTGCGTTTAGTGCGTTTGCCTTTATTTGCCTATTATTACTAACTTATTTTTTAATATGGAAAGTTGTGAACTTTTAATATCTGAAGTACAAAAGCGAAGTGCGTTCTTCTATTGAAATAGGTTCTTGAAAATTTGTTGTTCGAAGATCAAATTCAGGTGTAATTATTTCTAAAATATAATCAAACGTTTCTGATGTCATTCTTGTATATGCTCGAAACAAAGCATTGTCACTTCGTAATTGAGGGTACAAATGGTAAAATTCACCAAACGTAAGTCGATCATTGTAAATAAATGTGTTTGCCATTGATCTTTTATTTTTTTTATACTTTTTGTACAATAAATATTTAAGTACAGTACTTTCACTAAGTAACATTTTTTTTTGTAGACTTAAATTCATAGTAATTATCAATGCAAATATTAAATGTACTTTTTAAAACTATCCACGCGTATTTTACTCAAGTATGTATCACCGTACACTGCGATGTCGGACTACTCGGACTCACATTTGCCACAAGTGCGGCGTTCGAAAAACATCTGATGCGAATTCGTTCGCATCGGACGCACTCGCCGGACTCACGTAGGACACGGCATAAGTCGTGGAAACTCGAAACTTTCACCAAATGTTTAAATTGGCGTTTTCTATGTATAATTTAATTTTCAAAATATTTCGTTTAACCTATTTATAGGCATTTGAAATATTCGACTTTTCTTAGACTTTTTTTTATAAAAGTTGATAAAATTTTTTAACTTAACCAAAACATTAGAAAGTGTAATAGAAGGTTTTACATTAGTTGATCTAAGAGTGATTCAAAAATTATTGAAATACATAGACACACATTTTTTTTATAAGCATTTGAAGTTCAAAAATTGGAAATATTTGTGGAAATCACAAATATTTGCAAATTATTTTGTAGTTGAAAATGTATAAATTTTTTTTAATTCAAACATACAAAAATTTAATACAAGGTTGTCCATAAGTTTTGCTTACAATAAGTATAAAAAATATCGCGATCGGTCCAATAAAAAAATTTTAATGAGTGTCTGAAGCTGTAAATTTTGTAAAATAATACAAAGATCGTTCAGAATCGTTTTTTTTTTATAATATAAAATAATCCCAAAATGTATCCTAAAATACTTAACCTATCAATTCATCTCGTGTATTCCACCTAACTCCTGTATCAGCTCCTGTATACATATAATTTATATTATATATTTATTTTAAGATATTAAATATCTATCAGAATAAACCACCAGTTATTTATATAAAAAATGTATGTAACTTCAGGATTAATATATGTCACTAAATCATTTTCTAAGTCTATGTTCAATTCATTTTTCTCATCTGCCACATTCTGATTAAATGAAATTGAATTACCAGTTACTAGAAAAATCACATTATTATTTTTTAATCGTGCTAAAAATGTAAATACATTTAATGTTACCTTCTGGATTAATAGATGTAACTAAATCATTTTCCAAATCTATTTTCAATTCATTTTTCTCATCTGCCATATTTTGATCAAATGAATTTAAATTACTAGTTACTAGAAAAAAAAATTATATTTAACTAATTATTGTACTCGAGACTTTAAAAATGTTGAATACCTCCATACATTATTTTTGAAACATGCTCTAAATTGCATCTATACTATATCAGGTAAATGTATTTTCATTGATTAAATATACTTAATATTATACGTAATATTTAATCAATGGTATTATAGTACTATTAGTACTTACCGTTATTGGTTTGGATTTTTATCTTTTTATTAAAAAAATTGTAGAAATGTATAAATTCTAGTCGGTCGACCACGTAGGTATCACGAAAAAATAAAAAAACACGGTGTTATAACGGCTAAGCATATACATATAAATGATTTATTTTATAAAAAGATATACATCACAGTAAACACTGGCGACGGTACGGTACGATGACTACGGCGACGGTACAACTGCTTTTCAGGTAATCGCCGTGACGCGTGCCGTTCGTTGCGATACAGATAATAATAATAATAATAATAATAATAATAATGATAATACTAATGTCTAACATTTTATCAGATTACTACAAAATCCTGAATTGAATTTGACTGTAGTTAAATGAAAAAATACAACTGAAAAGTACAACTGTACTTCATTTAATTTTTTTTTTCTTTTGTTATTGGTATTCTTTAATGCACATGCATTAGTTTGTCTTTCCCAATTGGTTGAATTTATACGGCGATCACGAATACGTCCACAAATTAAACAATTATTCGGCATATTTAAATTTAAATTATTAAAACAAAATATTAGGGAAAAAATATTAAGAAACTGATTACTAAGTCACATAAACATGTTCATTAGGTATACGGAGATATAGTAGGGAATGAACAATATTTATTAAAATGAGAAATGAAATTAATAGGCATAATAAGTAATAACTAGGGAACGGATTTTATTGTAAATACATATTTTTATTGAAATGAGATATTTTTAATCTGATAAAAAATGTGTACGATTTAGATCATTCTAATTAAAATAAACCCAAATTTATTTTACATATTTTTACATATTTTGGTATAAATACATATTTTTACATATTTGGTAAATAAATACATATTTTGTACATATTTTAGTAATTTTTGATTTTTTTCCTTCCGACGACCAAATATTATACGTTATCTAAATGACATTTACGTACCTATTTTCGGTACGCCGCATGCCACTATATACATTAGAACTAATTCATTTTTTGTCGATCTTGGAAATACCGGACGATGTAAGTATAAAATAAGGAAGTGGTATAATACGATAAACATTATCTTAGATAATTTATCTACATTATATAAATGGACTTACGTACTTTATACACCGTGGACAAGTGGGTAGATAACGTGTTTATTCAATGTTACGGTTTCACTCTTCAGTTTTCGGTGTATGTTTAGTTACTGATCTAATGTAATTATTTGTATCGTAGCTGTTTTTTTTTGTACCTACATCGAAATTTTGTTGTTTTTTTTTTTTTGCAAAATTTTTTAGAATGCCTAAAGCTGCAAGTTCAATCAATAATAAAGTAGCCGCATATTTAAAAGAATTTCCGAATGAAACATTTCAAAGCGATGGTAAAGTTTTATACTGTAAATGTTGTGAAAAATCGGTATCAATAGGCCAGCGCTTTCAAGTAAGTCAACATATTTCTACCACTAAACACAAACAAAATAAAGAGCGTCAAAATAAATTTAAGCAACAATTTTTAACATCTTCGCCTTCTACATCTTCTGATGATAATTCGTCAACATTTTATACTGATTTATGCCGAGCATTTATTCGTGCTGACATTCCAATTTTTAAACTAAAAAATCCAGCATTGAAGGATTTTTTAGAACAATATACTGGCAAAACAATTCCAGAAGAAAGTACAATAAGGAAAAAATATGTGAATGTAATTTATGAGGAGACTTTAACATCAATTAGACAAAATATACAGGATGGACCCATTTGGGTTTCTATTGATGAGTCGACTGATGCGGATGGTAGATATGTGGGTAATGTTATTGTTGGTAAACTTAGTTCTGAGCCTTGTGATTCGTTTCTTTTAAATTGTGAGCAGTTAGATAAATGCAATCATAAAACCATTGCTAAGTTGTTTAACGATTCAATGAATTTATTATGGCCCGAAGGAGTAAAATATGAAAATGTATTTTTATTTTTGTCCGATGCCGCTCCGTATATGTGTAAAGCAGGTAATGTTCTGAATGCATTTTTCCCTAAACTAATACATATCACTTGTTTAGCACATGGTTTTCATCGGGTGGCAGAAACAATAAGATTTAGTTACCCTGACGTTGACCAATTAATAGCAACGGTTAAGAAAATATTTCTTAAAGCACCAAGTCGAGTTTTAAAATTTAAAGAATTGTACCCCGATCTCAATTTACCTTTAATAGATCGTATGTCGAGGGACGGACAAGGCACTGGGAAACCATAATAATATTTTATATGTATCAGCAATCACATACCCGGCACACCGTCTCAACAGATAACGTCGTTATCGTATTTAATAATTAATAATACCCGAAGTAATTCTATTTTCGAATGTACTTTTGTAAGTACAAACTGTACAATTTACAAATCTCCTATGTTCCCAACGGTTTGTTATAATCTCTATTATAACAAGTCCATCTCATATTATTATCATGGCTTCACGTCAGTATACCCCAACACCCACCCATTTATGTTAAGGCACAGGCCTCAAAAAATTATCTTCACCACGTCACTGCTAATACATCAATTATCTAAAGAACATATTCATAATCATTTAGGATTAAAAAATTTAGAAAAAAATAATTTTACTATAGTAGATATTGTTAATGAACATGGTAATTTATTTAAAAAATATTATAATGAGAATGTGAAATTGAATCGTTTATTTATGGAACACTTAATTGATTTGGTTTTATTTTTGGGAAAACAAAAGTTAGCACTTTGTGGTCATGATGTGAGAAGTGATTTATTAAATAAAGGGAATTTTAGGGAGTTGTTTGATATGCATATTGTTAGGTATTTTTAAGAAATTCAAAATCGTTATAAAAGTATAAAAAACACATTTTCAGGTATGTCCTGAAAAGTCTGTAGAAAATGATTTATTATCATGTATTTCTGATTCCTTAATAAATCAAATAAAAAATGAAATTAGGCAATGTAAATTTTATTCTATTCAAATTGATGATACAACAGATATTAGTGAAAAAACACAGTGTTCAATTATTATTAGATATGTTACAGATAAATCTGAATTAGTTGAACGTTTCTTGGGTTTTCATAATGTTAGTGAAGACCGTACGGCACAAGGCTTATTTAATTTGTTTTGTTCTGTTTTACATGAGTTTGATATGGAAAGTAAATTAGTTGGCCAATGTAATGATGGGGCATGTGTAATGTCTGGGCATATAATAGGTTTACAGGCTAGAGTTGAAGAACTTGCTCTTAATGCTTTATTCACACACTGTCTAGCTCATAGATTAAATTTGGTATTGCAACATGGTTGTAATATGTCGTATATTTTTTGCTAATATAATTGGTATCGCTGCTTATTTTCACAGTTTCACCTCGCGTACTAATGTTGTAGATCATAGGTTCTTAATCCGGAGTCCATGGACCCCTTGGGGGTCCGTAGATGACTACTCAGTGGTCCACGGGGTGGCTGTGAGTTGTTTTGAAATAAGCCAAAATAAATTTGTTTTGATAGTATTTTTAAAATAATTATAATTGTTAAAACACTCGAAAACCATTTGAAAGACAACAATGTTTTTAAATATAAAACTTAGATTACGATAATTTTATATTCCATAAAAAGCTATCGTAATCGTAAAATAATATAACATGGCAATACAATCTAACGAGCAGTTCAATTTAACACTGAAACCTATCACTTCTGTTGACCCGTCACCGTATAATAAAAATTATATTTATTTACCTATATATATATAATTTTTTTTTTTTTGCAGGGGGGTCCGTGATTTTATTTTATGCTTTAAAGGGGTCCATGGCTAAGAAAAGGTTAAGAATCTATGTTGTAGATAATATTGTAGGGAAATGAATTCCTCAATTCGTTTAAACTAGATAGTCTTCATGTTAAAAAATTTTAAATACAGTAGTTAATGAGTGGTCAGGGTTTATAAATGTTTTTGATTTTATTAGTAATGATTCAACATCTTTGTCTGAATCTATTTGTGGTGCTATAGGTAATTTAAAAGATTTAAAAACTTTTGAATTTGCTTTTTTATCACTCATATTTAATAATATATTCATGTATACTGACAATTTATTTAACGTTCTTCAGAATAAATCATTTGATATGGAATTTTGCTTAAGAAAAATAAATGTAACATGTGATCTTATAAATAAAAAAAAGAAATAAGCCTGAATTTTTAAAATTATTTAATCAAGCGGTTACTCTTACAAAACCCCCAAAAGCTACAAGAAATGAATCAAACTATCAATCAAATTTTAAAATATTATTTTATGAAATAATTAATAATATTCTAATGCAATCACATACCAGATTTCAAGACACAAATAAATTACTTTTTTTACAGTTAACTGATGTAACTAAATTTAAAGAATATTCTTGTACATTTCCAGAAAATGCTTTAAATAATTTGAAATTAACTTATTTTAATATATTTTATGATATAAATAAATTAAAAGTTGAATTGGAGGTTTTGTACAGTGATATAAAATATCAAAATTTATTACATATTTATGACATGGTTAAAATTATTGAACAAGATACATTGAAAGACATTTTACTTGAAGTTTATAAATTATTTATTCTTATTTTGACCATACCAGCAACTAGTGTATCAAATGAAAGAAGTTTTTCTTGTCTCAAAAGAATTAAAACCTATTCTCGAAATAGTATTTCACAAATTCGTTTAAATTCTCTCGCTATACTATCAATTGAAAGGTCCTTGATTCATCAACTCAAAGAAACCTAATCATTTCATGATAATATTATTAACATCAGTGGCGTTTTCTCTGGGTGTGCAAGTTGTGTGTTAACGCCCTATAACATTAATATCATAACATGAGTGCAATATTGTAATTTGTAAATTTGTAATGCATATTACATAGTAATATAATTTTATATACAAAACTTTAAATAATTGTCTTGTAGGTACTCTTCTCCATAAATAAAAATAATAATCAACTAATAAACTATTTTTAACTCGATATTCGACCGTGCTGCCGCAGTTATAAACTGCACGGTCTGCAGCTACGACGCGCGATGGCGTGATTACGGAATATTATGTATTATGTCGTGTAAGACGTTAATGTTTTGAACAACGACTTGCGGTATCTAATATCCCATATTCGTAATTTGTCGTGATATTGTCGGCTAACTTCGGTGCAATGTTAATACTAGACCAAGTCGTTGAAAATGAAATTAACGACCAGCCGCTAATAGCAGTGGTGGGGATCATTACGGCTGCACGTCGTATACTCGCACTGCAACGCTGATCGCCGAAAACTTATTGTTTATATCTGTGCATCACTGCATCAGTATTGTACTAGTACTATTGTTAATTATTATTTACTATTTAGTTCTATCTTTTATGCATTTTTATTGCAATTGATTGATAATTCAAGACAGTTACTAGGTATTTATTTTTGTTTAAGACACTCTTGGTACTAATTTACAATACGTGTCTTATAGTAAACTTATTCCATATTAACAATATGTGTAACCATAGCGAAGTTGTAAATCAATTAAAACAAAAATGCTTTTCAAGACTTTCATTTGCTGAAAAAAAATTTTTAGTTGAAAATGGTAAACCGTGTCCAGATCTTGACATTCTAACAACAGTAAAAATTAAAAAGACAACAGATAACACTCGGCATTTTCGTAAAGAGCTTTATAAGATGTCTGATTGGTTATGCGGTTGTGAAATATCGAATACATTTTTTTTTTGGTCTTGTTTACTATTTTCTACGAAAAAAACTGTTTGGAATAATCAAGGGTATGATGATTAAAATCATTTAAATACAGCTGTTAAAAAACATACTGAATAAGAAATTCATATAGGTGGATATTTTAAACTTAAGACATTTTTATCATCATCAACTGCTAGAATTGACACATCATTAGATAAACAAAGAAAAATAGATATTCAATTACATAATGAAAAAGCAGCAAAAAATAGAGAAATATTAAAAAGATTAATAAATGCAGTATGTTTTTTAGCTAAACAGGAATTATCTTTTAGGGGACATAATGAAAACAAATATTCAGTAAATAGGGGAAACTATATGGAGTTATTGATTTCCACCCAAGAATTTGATCCATTATTACAAGAGCATTTATATACATCTACTATTTTTCGAGATACTTCTGTTTCCATACAAAATGATTTAATAAATTCAATTGCTGATGTTATTAAACATGAGATATTTAATGAAATTCAAAATACACAATACTTGGCAATTATGCTTGATGAAACAACTGATATTAGTAATAAATCACAACTATCGACAGTACTGAGATATTTTTCAAAAAACGAAAACAAAATTGTTGAACGTTTTCTTGGATTTGATGACATGAGTGCTGACAAAACAGCAACCTCTTTATTTAAACACGTTAATCGAGTAGTTGAAAAATTTAAAATTGAAAACAAATTAGTGGCACAAACATATGATGGGGCAGCAGTAATGTCTGGCCATTTAAACGGGTTGCAAAGTAAAGTATTAGAGAAATATCCTAAAGGATATGAAAGAATGCAATAAGGAACTTAAAATTTTTTTTCAAGGTCTTAACTCTTTACCTGTATTTTTTTCTCACTCTCCTAAAAGACTAAAAGCACTTTCAGAATTTATGACCAAAAAGTTACCCACATAAGCTACTACTCGTTGAAACTTTACTTCACGATTAGTTCATATAGTTCATAATCATTGAACATCATTAGTTGATTTTTTTATGTTTGTTTATGAAAGTGGTGATTTTGATAATGTTATTGGAATGACAGCAAAAGGATTTGCAAATTTCCTTCAAGAAAATAAAAACATTTTTATTATACAAATATTATCTAATCTTCTTATTTTTACTGACGTATTGTTCAATATTTTACAGTTAAAAAATACTTGATTTTCAAAACCAATTATACTAAGAAAGCGAAAATTTTGATACTTTATGGGCATCATTTACTGAAAATGCTAACGAACTTTTTGTAAGCAATCGCAGGGCTAAACAAATAGAAACCGACAAAAAAGATTATTATAGACGTCTTTATTTTGATATTATTGACAATATACAATCTCAAATTAATATCCATTTTAAATCGTTTGAAAAATTGCAATGTTTTCACTTACTTAATCCTACGAAAATTAAATGCATTGCGAAAAAAGATAATTTTCCATTTAATTTAATTAAAAATTTACAAGATATTTATGGCGATTTTTTCAACTATGGTAAACTATAAAATGAACTTCATGTATAGTACACCTTAAACGAATCATCCGATAAAAGCTCTATTGAAATTATGAATTATCTTTCTGAAATGAGCTTAAACAGTGGATTTTCCGAGGTGTATAAGTTGGCTCAATTAATATCTACTATACCAACATCAACCGCTTCAGTGGAGAGATTATTTTCATCTTTAAAAAGAATCCATACATATTGTCGCTCAACTCAAACACAAGAAAGAATGAACAGCTTAAATGTAATATCAATAGAAAAAGAATTGGTTTTCAAATTAAGAGCAAACAGAAATAAATTTTATGAAGATGTTATAAACAAATTTACTGAAAAAGAGGGAAGAATCGAATTTGAATTCAAATAAAAATCAATCTATAATAGAATATATTTATTAAAACATTTTCAGTTTGTATAATAATTTAATTTTATAAATATTTTATGTATTTTTAAAAACTTAAAAAGTATGTAAAATAAATAACTTTAATAACATGTTGATATTTAATAAAAATTTATTTTTCATAAGGGGGGGGGGGGGTCCTAATCAATCACACATTAACGCCTGACGCCGAAAGTCAGGAAACGCCACTGATTAACATATATGCTAATCAAAAAGATAGGAGTATAACAACATCAGTGGCGTGGTGAACAATTTTAATAAAAGGAGCCAGATATAATTTTTCCATCCACCCACCCACCCACATAAAACAGTATGTAACCAAAATTGCTCGCTTCGCTCGCAAGAAAAATATATTACCGTTTAATCATATTTAACATTTTTATTGTGTACAAAATAAATGTTCACAAGTCAAATTGGTGTTTCTGTACAAAAAAAAAAAGGAAATCCATTTTATTTATATTAATTTAGTTATGCCTACATGTAATTTTGGTATGAAGTAAAATATAATTTGTTTTTAATTTATTATATAAAGAATAGTTCATAAATATAATTTATAACAATACTCTACATTAATAATGTAATAATAACAAATAGTTTTAACGCATCAAAATACATATAAGCTCAGTTTATATAGTATCTAATACAGTTATACCTATACGTTATAAACAATACATAAATAACAACTAATATAGAAAATAGGTATGAATATATATGATTTGGCATCGAACTTGAAGTATTATTTGAACAACAATTCTTTTCGCAGCAATGAAGATGTCAAAGCATATTTGTTCAAAAATTCTTCTGGATTTAAAACTATATCTTTTTCACATGATATTAGCATGAGACTTTCAAGTCTATTTTGCGTCATAGTAGATCTATGTCGAGTTTTAACAAGTTTTACTTTAGAGAATGATCTCTCACTTGAAGCAGATGTTGTAGGAATAGTGCATAAGTACTTATATACTACAAAAAGGTTTGGGAATGCTGCAACTAAATTATAAGAACAAAGTATTTTAAGTATTTCAATTGCTGAAAGTTTTTTTTTAGTTTCTTCATTACTGTCTATTTCATTAGATGAGTCAGAATCATGTTTAGTTTCATTTTCGCTATCAATGATCAGATCCTTATTTGAGTTAATACTGGAAAAATGTATACCATTGTATAAGTTAATAAAACTACTCGCAAATATGGTATATTCCATTTTTAAATTATCAAGATTTAAATTAGGAATCCAATTCATAAACGCAATAAAATTATCTTGAGGAATTTCAGTTCCTTTTCTAGTTGCCTCTAACCGATCAAAAGTCAATAATGACAAGTTGGACAATATATCTCGTGCACCTTCAAATCTACTTATAATAGAAGTATTTACTTGATCCAATACTACATAATAAACTTCAATTTTAAATTTTTCATAAGGATTTGTAATAACTTTATCAGAAACAATTTCTCCAGGCAACAGTTTCCTGCGACGGCTACGTATATTTGGCAACTCACATTCAACTAAACCAATTTCATTAACAAAATATTTTGTTTTTGTAATTAAATCATTAAAGCTCTGCTCATTTCTTAATTCAGATCATTTTTTAGCACAAACATCCACCATAGTAATTGCCTGAATGAAATCAATAGATGAAGATTGCAAATAAATTGATAATGGAGTAGTACAAGATAAAATATTTTGCATTAAAAATAAATTCAAAATAAACTTAAATGAAGTAATTATTCTGTAGAGATTTGATGCAGTTGAAGAAATTTCCCTATCAATTGAGTTAATTAACTCTTCTAATGTTTTTAGAATAGCTAAATACTTTTTACTTAATACTGATAATGCACGATCATGAGAATTCCAACGGGTGGTAGAGAAGTTTTTCATTCTACATGGCCTTTCAGAAGGATAGCATTTAATTTGTTGCTCTAGGAATATGGCTGTTCGTTTTCTTGCCCTCATATATGTGATCAATTGTTGAACATCTCCAAAGAAATTTCTAATACTTGAATATTTATCACATGTATCCATAACAACTAAATTTAAGATATGTGCAAAACACCAAACATAAATAGCATTTGGGTTTTTCTCTTGGACATAAGATCGAAGACCAAAATATTGTCCTTGCATTGATGCAGCCCCATCGTAAGATTGAGCACATAGTTTTGTTGTCCAATCTAAATTATATTTACTACAAATATCACAAAAAACATTAAACATTCCCAATCCTATAGAATCAGGGGCTTCTTTCATAGCAACAAGTCTCTCTTCAGTTTGACCTTCTTCATTAACAAAACGTAGGACTAATGAAAACTGCTCCAAGTTTGAAACATCAGTAGTTGTGTCTATAATTATTGAAAATACTCCTGCTTTTTTAACTCTCCTCAAAATCTCTTCTCGTACCATTTCACCCATAACACTCAAAATATTATTTTGACTAACATTTGATAAAAATGTTAATCTGTTTTTTTTTTTTTGCATTCTGAATTTTGGATAAATGAGCCGACAGTAAAGGATTATATTTAGCTAAAAGTTTGACAAGTTCTACAAAGTTACCTTGATTGGATGAACCCCAGTGTTCACTGTGACCTCGAAATGCATTGTTTTGCCGAGCTTAGTACAATAAAGCTTCAAAAATTATTTTAACAGTTTCTCTATTTTCTGCAACCTGTGAATTTGATGATGATAATAACTGCACATCAACCCTTAATTGACTTGTATACATAACGCGGCGTATTTCAGACTGTAAGTGTTCTGGTGCAGATTCGTGTACTTTAATTTTATATGAAATATGTCTCCAGTCATTAGTTCCATGTTTTGAAAATTGATCATGTTTTCCATTTGGCAATCCAAACAATTTACAAACTATACAAAAGACGCAATCGGTAGAAGGAGAATATGATAGCCAATTGCGTTTTACAAAACTTCCTAGTGAAATTTCTTTAAAATAATATTTTTCATGAAATGATCTTAGACGATTACCTTGTTGGTTTGTAGGAAATATACAACCACTTAATTGTGATTTGGAAGGTTGGCATGACTCTAAAGATGCAAAATGAGCAAAAAGTTCACTAGATACATTAGAGTTCATCACAGCGAGATCATTGGGAAATTGTTCTAAACTTAACGTATCTATTTGCACTACATTTTGCTGTGGCTCAAAGTTGATATTATGCATCAAATCTATTTAAAAATATAAATATCATGAATTAATGAAATGGTTTTTACCTGATTGGCAAATGCATTTATTTATTTAATACAAATTGATCTTATAGGTAAATACATAATATACTGTTTAAAAATGAATGAAAAATCTAAGATTTTTATTAGGTTAATTATTATTTATAAATAACATATAAAGCAAGTTTAAACTTAAAGAAACCAGATTATTAATAAATAGTAAATCAATAACAAGTATTATTAAATTAACTATTAAAATTAGGTCTATAATAATAAATTAAGAATAAAATTCTAAATTTGAATAGTTGATATAATGACACAATGATTCAAAATACATTGAAAATATTACAAATAAATATAATACATACACTTCACTTTACTTCCTATTATTTAATAAAAATATCCATATCTCATATTCTTTATGTTGTAACTTTTTATTTTAAATCACATAAAAAAAATCAACTTTTATTTCCTAAACAGCTACTCAACATTGAATTAGAGTTTCAAATTATAGAAAAATTATATTAAAATATAAAGCCAATCACTGGACACATATATAGACATATTATTATAGTTGATATTTAATGTACCAAGTAACTATAACTAAATAACTTAATAAATAACTTAGTAAATCTGGGGAAATAATTTAATTTACATATGCCATGTTATAAAAATTAAAAAAAACAACCGAAATAACTGCATAAATGGTTAAATACTATTATATTTTTATATTAATTAAAGTTGCATTTTACACAATACAAATAATAATAATACAATAATTATTAAAATAAAATTAGGTATTGTCAAAACTATTTAGAAAGTAATCATAATATTCACATACAAAATAATAATAATAATAATAATGCATAATTTCTTCATAAAAAAATTTAAACATTTTTTCAACATTGGACAACAATTTGGACACAGATTTCCTAAAGTGAAAATAATCTCTATGTAATTAGTATTATTAATACTAATTACTTACCAGCTTCAACCATAGTTAAATTTAAACTAAAATAATAAGACTAATTTATTCATAAATAACCTGTTGGCGGATAAATTTGTATGATTTCAGTTGAGTCGACCAAGTTTTGCTTTGTATTAATATTCAAAACGTCTAAATTAAATAAATTAATTAAATTAATAAAAATAAGAATAAAACAAATATATTGATTATTGATTACCATCCACATTAATTTCACTTAAAAGTTGTTGATTGTTAGGCAAACTAGACTTCATCAAGCCGATATCATTTGGGTTAAAATCATGTTAATACATTATCAATGTTAATTATTATTTATTACAATATTATATTATAATATAATTATTGGTATGATGGAAAATAAATAGGTATATATGAATAATGAATTTAATTAATATAATGAAATGCTTAACTTACTTGATTTTTCAATTTTTTGAAATTTTCTATTACTTTCCGTACGTTTAAAATAATCTGAAATAAAACTGGAAGCCGTTCTCTTTACAGGCTTTATTTTTTTTTGACAAGATTCTTTATGGCGAATCCAGTTAACACTGTTCATAGATTCACGTTTTTTACCACAACTGGGACACAGTGAATTCATTTTTAAATAACGGTTATAATTGCAAACGTAAATAAATAAATAAATAAATTATTATATAAACTACTAAAGTAGGTTTCTGCTTGACGGTTATTGCATTAATAACAGTCGATCGCGAAATAATACATTGACCACTGATATTTGATATTAATAGTTAATACCATTGATTAAAATTTATAAATACTCCATGTTAATACTAATATAAGTAATAATCTCACTAATAATAATATTGTCATGCACTTGTGCGGGCAGGCACAAGTCATTTCGGCTGTTTTGGGTAAATGGGGAATAACCATCTGATAACGATCTGTTTTATTTATAAAACAAAATAGTGTATTAATTAGTTTATACTTTATTATGCCATGTTACCGTTGTAGTTACTAAACTATCTACTTATATACCACACAATATTTATACATTGTTTATACGATACACCAATAATTACATTTTCCTAGATTATTATGAATAAACTCGCTGATATGTTAAGACGCCAAGTTCATAATTTATAAAAAAAATATTTTACAAATCCACCTACACCCCCCCCACATATGAATGGAGCCGCGGCTCAAAAAAAACTGCTTCGCCACGCCACTGAACAACATACAAAACATAAGAATTTAATTTGTTTTATTTAATTCATAGTTTCAAGACTACTAATGACGAGGCATACTAATGACGAGAATATTTCTGTCCCTCGGGAATGCTAGATTATATTAGTATGTTAGGTACTAATATACCATACAGATATATTTAGCACAGACTATTTAAAATAACTTGGCCGCTCCGGCATCCTTATCTTTACTAAATTAAAATCAACATTATAAATAACAAAATATTATATTACAAAAATTACTATTATGTTATAATTGTAATTCGATAAATATTCAATTTTTTTATTACATTTTTAAACTATACAACAATACAACAAAATTCAAAAAGCACAGTCCCCGCTGCGTGCGACCACCCACAGTCACAGACGAACGACGAATTCACACTGACCGCTGGTAGATATGCCTATAACCAAAAAACTATCAAAACCTGCAACAAATAGTTGCTATAACGATAAATACCAGACGGCCAATAACCAGGAACAACATAAGACATCGTGGTTTAATAAATGGCTGCAGACGTACGAAAAACTTGACAAAATGAATGTTGATGCGCACACCACGAAGACACACGGAAGAGAACGAGACCGGGCCGACGACATTTACCAGGAAGGCTAAGGCCACCGGACACCACAAAATAAAGATAAATGTCTCAGTGCCACCACACTAAACCAAAAAACACGAGAACTTACGAAACTTTGTGGCACTGAGAACATGACTTTGACTTCTACAAAACATAACCGGAAAAACTCTGAAGACGTGGAATAACGGACACGTATACGCGCGACGATAACAGTGCGATTACGTACCCGGCCCCGGTCGCACATGGAGGCTTATCACCGCCGCCGACGATGGCTGCGGATACGCAACGCACCGCTACGCATCGCACGAAAATGATAACATGAACAAATGACAAATAACAATATTGGCACATAGTCTGTTTTGTTATAGGTGACATTTTTGTACGATAGCTTGTTGTTCTTATTTGTATATATCATATATGTATTAGATAATTGTAATCATTTTAAAACCTTTTAAGATATCAATAATTAAACAAAAATATGTACCTATTTTTTTATTTTATAATTTATAATAACAATAATTAGCCGTTAGGTGTATCTATTAATTTTTTTTCGTAGTTATTATATTTGGTGGATCTTTAATATCCGATAAAAACATTCGTCTACTATACTGCAGATTAATTATCTCTGGAAATAAACATTCTCGATAAAAACTGAAATACAATCATAGTCAGGTTCATAATCGGCATAATCTATTTTTGGAAGCGTCTGTCGTCGCCAATAATCGACCCACGACCGCTCTAGACGGTTGTGGTTGAAATATACTTTTTGGCGTAGTGGGAGAAATCACGGCCGCCGTCACAATGGCAAGCACATGACAGCAACGAAAAATTAAATCAAATGCTGTAAACATGATTACGTAAAACAAATGAAAAGTCATTAAAAAGTGGTCTCAGAGTAAAAACACCTATAATAAATTTTATAGAGAAGAATATTTCGGGGGCAACCTCATCGGGGTTTTGTATTAATCTAAATAAATAATAACAAAAACCCTTTTTTTTAAATTTTTTAAATAACTGTAACTTTTTTAATAGTTAATATTTCAAAAAACACCGATGAGGTTGCCTCCAAAATATTGTTCTCTATAAGTTTCATAATAAGTATTTTTAAACATTACTAAAAATTACATATCACTTAAGGTAAACTTAGCCTATATTTTTAAACATTACTTAAGTGAACTTTTGAGTATACTGATATACATTGTTGTCAAGTTGTGTTATAAGATACTGACCAATCAAAGCCTAATGCTTTAATCAAGCCACATTGTTTATTGTCCCGCGCATAATAATTCTATATTTATTTTAAGTTTTATTATTATAACTTATTAATATAAATAATATTATATATAATACAATATAAATATTATATATAAAATAAAATTAAAATAATAATAATATTATAATATACCCGTATTAACTGTTTTAATTTGCATTTACCATCAACTGCCATAAAATGTCTTGTGAAAATCAAACTAAGTAAGTATAATGTTTAAAAATAGTCAACAAAACGAGGATAGGATATTAGAATAAAATGTAATAAAAACAAAAACAAACTTTGTTTTCCAGAAAACGAGTAAATTATACAGCTGAAGAGAGAAGGGATTTGATGGAAATTCTTAGTAGGTATCCTATGCTTACTGGAAAAGCCACAGATAACAAGGTGATAGCTGTTAAGAGGTCTGCATGGGAAAAAGTGACCAAAGAATTTAATAGTATAGATGGTCACTTAATAGAGGTTTTTTTAAGTCATAGCAAATATCTAAATACATATAGTTTAGTAGGTACTTCATATAGTGTAATTATATTTTTTTATTATAGAGGACAACAGATCAACTCAAAAAACTTTGGGAAAATAAGAAAAACGAGTATAAGAAAAAACTCGTTCAAACCAAAGAGAAAATTCGTGGTACAGGTGGTGGTCCATATAGTATTGAAACTATTAATGAAGATCCTCATCTTGAACTTCTTATGGACACTGTAGATATAGAATTACAATCTGCTAAAGATTGTGATAGAATAAATGAAGAAGTGATGATGAAACCTGTATTAGACACATCTGTAAGAATAATAGAAGTGGGAGAAGGAGATATATTACTTGATGAGGATGAGACAACTAATCAGCTAGAATATGTGAATATTAACTACTATTTTTAATTACATTTTTATAAATATTAAATTGCATCCCTTTGAAAAATAGGAAATTGTAAAGAAAACAACTGCTGAAGTAGCAGAATTTCAAGCTATAACTCAGAGCAGGAAGAGAAAAGCAGAAAAGTCTACTCTGGAAAAGTCAAGAGGAGCATTAGTACAAAATGCAATGAATGAGAGGAAAAGGATGATGGATATTGAACATCAATGGAAAAAGGAAGAGCATAACCTAAGAATGCTAATGTTACAAGCTAAATTAGAAGCATACAAAGCAAAAAGAATGCATTATGAAAAAAAATAGTACTCTGCATAATTATTTTTAAATTTATTACATAGAATAAATAAATTATTCACACATACATACAGATAATAAGCAAATGATGGTCAACATTAACATTAACAAGCCAATAATAATTTACAATAATAGAATTAATAATTAAAGCTTTCAAAATAAAATGAACAATTAATTTAAAAATCAATTATTACTTAGAATACTTTAAATTTAACGCATTAAATGCATGTTTACTAACTTAATTTATTTGTCACAGTATAAAAGGATACTTAAACAGTGTTTGAAATTTATTACAAATTAAGTTTGTCTTTAAACTTGATTTATCCATTTAGGAAAACTACTCACGGAAGCAATCCTTGATAAAAACTATTAAGTAAATGATTATAATATCTGCATCAAAATTTAAATTAATTAAATATTTCCATTGGATATGATAAACAAATAAATAATTTAAACATCACAATATTAAATATAGACATCAGCCATGATATAACTACTATAAATAACTACTATAACTGATAAAAGATAGCATGTGTGTGAAAATAAAACAATTATAGATATAAGGCAAGATACAATATTTACAATTTACTTGATAGTAAATTGTAAATATTTTGTTTTGTTTTTAGTAGGTAAGTGTAAAAATATAATATTCATTCACTTCAGAATTTAATGGCGTTCAATACTGAAATATCTGTTCTTGAATATGTCTCGTAATCTTGATCCTTTAATATTTAATGAATCTGGGTCTAATTCAGGATGATCATCATAAAAGTTGATATTATCAAAATGAATAACATCATTTGTTTCAATAGCAATGTTGTGGAGTATTGCTGTAGCTGTTATTATTAACAAAATTGTGTCCAATTTATATGATAGTGGTTTAAAAATTCAAGGGAACTTACGCTTCCACACACTAAATAATCTAAAAAATCATATAACATGTTATTTTGGTTTTATGCAGTTAATACTTTATACGTTTTATACGTTTTCTTCTCTCACCTTTCAACAGAATTACGTGTACTTCTATGAGCACGATTGTAGCGTGTTTGACAATAATAGTGTCTCAATTAATTACGATAATTTTGCAGATCCATGTTATAGCTTATTGTATTCGGATTAGGTCGCTGTGGAATTACAGGCTCTGGTGCTGGAGTATATAAGTAGTATGATTGAGGGTAACCACTGTCTCCCAGCAAAATGCCTGTAATATTACATTATTATTTAACCTACAAGGGATTGAGGGATAGTAATATGGCTGATTCAACTACAAAAAATTAATATTGACCTTTTAATAAACCAGTTTCCAATCTGTTCTTTACTCTACTATTTTGAAAAATACGGCTGTCGTGTACTGACCCTGGCCGTCGTGCCACCAAATCGTATATTTTTAAATCAGGCCCGCCAACAACCTATTCATTTATGAAAGAAACGTTGTGTGATTTAATTAGTAGTTTAATATTAAATCAATTACTTGAATATTAATTGAAAATCTTCCTTTTCGATTACGAAAAATTTCTCCTCTTTCAAGTTGAGAACACTTAATGGGTATGTGTGTTCCATCAACGCACCCAATTATTCCAGGGAATGCAGCAATTTGTGAAAATTTCCGGAAAGCAAATATATCTACGGAGATTATCAGAGAGCACATCACTTACTCTGCGAATGACATTACTAACTGTGGACTGTGATACATGAAATAAATCACCAGCAACAATCTACAAATACATTGATGAATACGATGATACAATTATTAATGTATGAAGTTACAACAATATATTCACTACTCATAATATTACTTGAAACTCTCCAGTTGCATAGAACCTCAATGCAATCAGCAACTTGTATAAAGGAGGCAGAGGACACCCTCTATCAGTTTCTTTGGATAAAGGATTTAAAACTAGAGGTAGAATGACTTTTTGGATAACATCTGGCTAGAATCTTGAGTAGATACGTATATATAAAATTAATAAATTTAAATAGGTACGTTTTTAATAATAATTAATTGTTCATTTTATTTATACATACCTGAAACGTATTTTTATTTCCTTGTCACTATAAATTTCTAAAGGAATTTCGCGATCTGGCATTATGCGGGGTATTTGGAGTTCATGACCAATATTCTCAGCAAGAAACAAGTCATCAATAAAATCCAGGTCCTCAAAAATGGCCATAATCGTTTTATTTAATAAATTAAAATATATATATTGCAATAAAATTACTATATTAGTTTTTCATTTTCATAATTATTGTGATAATAAAAATCAACATTGATGTGATAAGTGTAAAATTTACACTTAAGTAACTTATAAAGGCACCTTAATTTTTTACTTAATTTATTTCACTTAAAACAGTTAAGTAAAGTTTAAAAATACGAAAATTCTATTAAGTTTTTAATTAAGTGTATTTTTGTTTGTTAAGTGCACTTAAAATGTTTGAGTTTTGTTTGAAATACGGTCCTTAAAGGTTTTTATGGATTTTTCAGAAAAATAAAATGTAAACTGTTTTCTCTGTTCTTGATCATTCTGACGTTTGACACTCAGTTCTATTTTCAGCGTTGGAATATCTTTGTTAACCCTACAACGATACCTTGGACGGCGACGAACTACGTGACAACGTAGATAAGATAAGAATTATTTTTAATTTTAATTCTATCAAAAACGACTTTGCAGGAGAAAACTATAAAAACAAAAAACTGGTCAAATAATCAAAAATAATCAGAAAAACTGGAAATAACCATTTTTTTTTATTTAAAATTGCTGAAAAAAGCAAAAAATGCACTTCCAAATTGCATAAATGTAAGTGTTATAACTTAACATACACTTCTATAACACTCTGCTATATTTTAAGTCAATTCATAAAAATAAGTGAATGCTTTAACTCCCGAGCCCTGGTTATAAAGAATGTTTTTTTTTTTTTATATGATTTATATTTATCTTAATTTGTACTTCGTAGTTTCGAGTATGTCTTCTGATAGGGATTAAAAATATCTTTAAATTTTGTGTTTCATCAATTTATTTGTAGAATTAATATAAGAATACTTCTATCATTTCATATTTTATGTCTTAACACCAGATAAATATAAACTAATTTTTTTTTAAAGGGTGTCACATCCGCATTACGTCCCTTTTTCATCTGTACGATAAATAAGATTTTTACGTTAATTTAATTTTCAAGTGATTTATGATTTTTTCAATTTCGAATTCAAAGATCAAAATATAAAAAAACAGCAAAGTTATGGGAACATCGAAATTAAAACATCGATGCAAGACATTAGACCGCTAGTGTTGTTAAATACCGATATTTTTTGGCGTATACATCGTTGGTTCAAAAACATTGATACATCGTTGACATCCCTAATGATAGTACATACTACTATATATATATATTATAAAATATCAATATTCAATAACCAAACATTTTTTCCATTAATATTGTATAGATACTTGTGATTATAATTTTCTGTATTCATGCAAACGTTAAAAATATTATAGGTACTCAGCAATGAAACGAAGTATAAAAGACTATTTTATACCGAAAGTCAAGTGTAAAGGTAATTCTAATGTAACGAATGATAGTGATATTTTGGTTTTAAATTCATTACAAATTCTAGATAAAGACGAACAAAAAGTTATTTTGAATACTCAGATACCTAAAAAACATGGAATATTTGATATAAAACTATATACTGATAAACAATTGACGAAAACCGAAAAAACAGAAGCATTAAATATAATTTGGACCCCAGTTAAAAATTATGATTTTCCTATAAAGCTTTATGGTCAAGGCCGTAACTGGAAATTAATTTCGGGGGGGGGGGGTTGTAAGCCAAAAATGTGTGTTCTAATTGTATTATAATATTGTGTAGGTAATTAAATATGGTTAAAAATTCATAATATTGTAGAATTATAAATAGTATTTATTAATGAAATTCACATTAAAAAATTTTTAGACTTAATATTAATTAGATTATTAAACTTAATTCTATACATTTAGTTTGAAAAATGGTTTATATTTTATATGACAAACTCTATATTTCTTTGTTTTTCGTTTGAAAAACGATTGATTACTTCTTCTGGATCTACAACAATATTCCTATGTACACTGAGTAATGCTAGGCCAGTCAATCGGTCTTTTCCAGTGGCATTCCTTAGGTAATTTTTTATTCTTTTCAGCGTCGAAAAAGTTCTTTCCGGTGTCGCCGTAGTTACTGGTAAAGTTGCCAAAACTTTTAATAAAAATGAAATATTTGGGAAAAAATGTTTGTTACAATTTGAATATGCTTCAAGTATTTCAGGAGATCGTTCTAATATTGGTTTATCACACCATTTTCTTTTCCAAAGTTTTAACTCGTTCGAAAGTGCATCCAAATCTAAAAACTCTGAGTATAATTCGAAATCACTTGCTTCTAATTCAGAATTAGTACATTTATTGGGAAGTAAAAAGCACAGCGAAGATATTATTTTTTATGGTTAGTGAAGCGTTCTTTTAATTGTCTTATCAAATCATCAAAAAATGGTATTGCAATAGCTATACGAAAATGTTTTCGGACAATTAGTAACAATATTCACACGATTTTGTTGACGAGCTGCTATTCTGGAAATTCTAATATTTTCTTCTCCATCAATAGATTTTAAAAGAAGTTCAGATTTTTCAAAAATGTCATTAAACGTAAGATCAATATTTTCACGTAAATGAATTAATTCGTTTAGTATTGTCTCGATATGTTGTACAGCTTCTACTAAGTCACAACTAACTGATTGTAAACTTTTACACAGTGGAAGTGTCATTGAAAACAGAGTATTTGATGTAACCATACTTAATATAAATTCACTAGTAACTATTGCTCGATAAAATTGAATTGATTTTGATGACGTATTGATGTCTTGAACTAATTGTAATTCTTCCAAAGTTTCAACAATGGGTTGGAAAATTTCAACAAATCTTTGAATTCCGTTGTGGTTTTCAACCCAACGAGTGTCACACATTGATGTCAGTTTAGTCCACTTGGTATTAGGTAAAATGTTTTTTATTTTAGTTTTTAATATATATTTGACCGCATAGCCGAACTTTTAATGAAATTTCCAATAGATTTTATTGTACCAATACAATTTCTGACGTATTGAACATTGCACCAATGAGCTAGCGCTAAATTTAAAGAGTGCGCACTACAATGCACGTAAAGTGCTGCTGGATGATTTTCCCTTATAATAGTTTGGACGCCTTTAAGATTTCCACTCATGGACGCAGCGCCATCATAACCCTGACCGACCATATATTTATCGTTAATTCCAAGTGCTTGTAATGAATTTATTATTACAGAGGCTAGGTGTTGACCAGTTGTACTGTGAACCGGTACAAATTGTAAAGTCTTCACGTAAAACATAATTAATAGTATCAGTTGTCTCTACTGAATCTATATATCTAATACAAAGAGTCAATTGCTCTATGCGTGATATGTCGGTAGTTTCGTCAACGAGAACCGTAAACGACTTCACTGCATTAATTTTACAAACTAAATTATCTTGAATTATTTTCCCACAAATCTTAATAAAATTATTTTGTATACTAGGACTTATGTACATAGCGTTTAAAGACTGATTTTCAATATGATTAATTAATTGTTTGTCTCCGCATGAAATTCGCATACGCAACAGTGCTTAAAAATTACCATCATTATGATCAGGTTCAACAATATTTAAATCAAGAGGACCCGAATCATTTCGCCTTCGAAGTGCTAACTCTTGTCGGCCACATAAAATAATTGTTTTTATAATTGGAACGAGTTTTTTTCTATTTTCAGAAATTTGTAGAGCTCTTGCGGAATCGAGTTGTTGTCGAATATCTGGTTGAAGTTTGGTATACGTGTTAATAAAATTTTCGCCAAACATTACACTATTTTTATGAAATTGTGTTGTGCTATGATGGGATAAAGCTTCAATAGCTTATTTCCAATTATTAAATGGCTTATTAACTAAGATTCCCAATTGTTGATGATTTCCCTTTCCTCCGAAATCCCTGGCAAATAAAACACAAAACGTGCACATTGCTCCTTGTTCGCCTATTGTTGTGTAAGCAAGCCAAGAAAATCGTTTAAACCAATTAAACTGGAATTTTAAATTTCTTTTTCCAACTATGGGAAATTTATAAGTTTCATCGGGTGTCCATTTATTTACTAATAATTTATACTTCAATTCGTTACTTACAGTTTGATTCAAATATTTCCCAATATCATAAATATTAACGATTGAGGTAGATGTTTCATTGTTCAACTCTGGACAATAAAGATTTTCCAATAAATTTAATTTAGGCTTTTTTATAAAGAAATTATTCATCATAGTGTTTTGTCTTTTTGCCATTTCAAATAAATAAATTAAACACTTCGTAAATCGTAGCACACTAAAACGTCAGAACATAAACCAAATGTCAACTAAATATTGGAAATGAATATTGCCCGTGAAAAAGTTTTAACTATTATCAAAGACTATTAAGATAAGATTACTAAAATACTAAGAAATAGTTCTTTGTCAATTACACATTCTGGTGGTAATGTATTATACATATATACCTATGTAGTATGTGCCTATAATATTATCAAGAAATCTGGCTGATACACCCGAAGTGAAGTTATTTTTAAGTTTATAACGTAGACCATAGCTGCCATTCGTATATGCACGTATCAATGTTTATCGATTATTCTAGACTAAAATAGTTATTTTATTACGACATAAATTAACGCGATAAATTTCGGTGGGGGGGGGGGTTGAACCCCTAAACCCCGCCCCAGATACGGCCTTGTTTATGGTAGTAAAAATTTGAAATTTGAAATCTCTTGGTTTGATAAATGGAACTGGATTGCTTATAGTTGTTTAAATGATGGCATTTATTGCAAATATTGTGTATTGTTCTATGTTAAACAAGAGAGGAAAGGAGGCCAATCGCATGGACAGCTTTGCAATTAACCACTGAAAAATTATAACACGCTACTGAAAAACTTAAATCGCATGAAGATATTAATTTATAAATTTTGTCATACACAGAAGACTCTTCTCAAGTAAGGCAGCAAAAAAAAAAAAAAAACAAAAAGACGATTATAGGAAAATTATTAGTCCTGTAATTAATTCAGTTATATTCAGTGGTCGTCAAGGAATTGCCTTAAAAGGCCACCAGGATTGCGGTCTATAAACTGAACTTAGTAAAAGCGATAAAAATGTTCGAACTTTACTTCGATTTTATATAAATGCAATTCAACTTTCAGGAGATAATACTTATCTTTTAACGCGGGAAAATTGTATAAAAAAAGGCTCAACACATAAATTCGAAGATACAGAACTAGATAGTCGACGCTTGTTTTAATACAATAACACTAATAGTAGCTAAAAAAATGAATGACTAAATATTTTTCTACTATTGCTGACGAAACTGCTGATATCAGCGGTATCGAACAGTTATCTTTGTGAGCCAGGTATTATGATTCTGATGATGGAAAAATGCACGAAGTCTTTTTAACATTTTTACCTATTTATGAAGTAAATAGAAGGAATTTTAAGAAATCTAAAGAAAGGATTGATTGGCACTGGTATATGAAACAAATAACACAACTATATTAGTTATCACTTATAATTTTATTTATCATTTATATGATATTATATTATACACATAGTTAATTAATATCTGATTAGGAAAAATATATTTACAAATTATATTAAAGATTTATTATTTTAATAAGTTTAATAATAATTTCCAGTCTCATTTAATTGATTTATATACTTTGTTTTCGAACAATTTGTATTCTAATTTGTTCATATTATTTTATTAAATAATTAAAAATCATTAATCTAATTCTTATTGAATAATAAATTAAAGTAATGTATTTGTATATGATAACTGTCGTACAATAACAACAACAAAATATAAAAAAATTCGTCAACAATTAAACTATACATAAATCACTTGTACAATTATAATAATCATACATAACATTTGAGATATAAAAAAGAAAATAAACGAATAATATCAAATTTATATAGTACATTTCACTGAATCGTCTTCAACAGCTTGAACAATAGCTTTACTCAACATTTAAACTAATAGTTTGTTAGGCTATTGTAAACTCACCCGATTTGAATGACATGTAAGCTCTTTCGAGTATACTTCATCAGTACTAGGTACCTGAAGAGTATATGTAAATTTTTTGCCGATTTTGTATATAACTTCGTTAGTACATTATACTCGTAACTGTCTAAATACTAATAAAATAAAATAAATTATTCATTTAAATTTAATTTTTATAATAATATAAACAAATTTTAAAAATCTTAATGTGATAATTTTTTGATTTGTACAATCAATAATTTTTCGTGATATTATTTTATTAATACCTAAACTATTGTAGTTTGGCAATAATACTCGAGAGAGTTAAACATTCAATTGGGAAAGTTTACCACCACTTGGTTTATATCAGTGACAAACAACCGAACATGAATGGTACAATTAAATAAATTCGTAGCTGATACATATTACAAGTTAGAAAAATACATACGTCTTAACGGCATGCGTTAAAATGTTGCAAATAATTGCACTTAGTCCGCGAACATAACACAATTCCAAGAAAGACAACATATTATTATTGTCCGATCGTACGGTCTGTCGATCGGCAGTCGCGTCCTGTCAGGGCACTTTGTCCGCTGTTGTGTAACAATGTTTATTTGGTTTTAGGTACGTGTTTTCGTGTTTTACGCTCTGGGAACTCGTTCGGCATTTCGCTAAACACAGTTCAAAATGGTTGTTGATGACTGAGAAAAGCACACGAAATGTTTCTGAAGCTTTGCCCAACACTGTCTGCAACAGCTTCCTCTGTGAGATTAAAAAAACCAATCAATTTTATTTTAACATTTAATCAGCATAAATGATATATATGCTATCGAGGCAAATCGGTGATATTTTTCAGCCCGGAAAATATAAATTAAAATAACTAAAGGCAACTTTCTTTTTTTTTTAATAAAAATAGAATTTTACGACGAAAAAATCTTAAAATATCAATAGTTGCCTACACGAAGACCGGTCCATAGAGAAGTTTCCCGTATTTTCAACAAGTCAATTTGTCTTTGCATTATGGTATGTAAATTACTAATAACGAATCTACCTTATTGGGATCGAGGCAACACGACACACAGTGTTCGTACAACGTGCAACAACCATCTTCATTACACGTATCACACATATAACGTGTTTCAGTGGTTCCGCAGCAATTGTTTACTAGTAGATTACCTCTATGACATATATAACCTGCAAGAAATATTTATATATTACTCAAAGTCGGTTTGAAGTTTAAACTATAACCATAAAACGATCTTAGATTAGACAGACTGTTTATGTTCTTACTCTCTATAATATTATTATCATTGTGCTTAAATTATTACTAGTGCGCGGATTTGTATGCATTTAAAAGTATCGAAATATGCCATATAATATGCAGTAAAATCATGAAAATATGCAAAAAATATGCAAGAATTTTTTATTTATTTAAAATTTATAATTCAACTTATAAAAATTAATTACTTAAATACTTAATATAAAAAAAATGTAAGGAATTTTCTGAAATTAATTTATTTTTAAAATTTTATTTATTATTAAAACGAAAAATCATATGCATTTCAAGTTTATCTTCTATGAAGTTGTGTCGTTTATCGGTCAACATATTTTTAAAGACTGAAAACGAACGTTCGATGTCAACCGAAGTTATTGGGGCATATTTGAAGCAAGTGGAATGTCAATAATCGACTGACACAGCAAGAGCGATTAAGTTTACGTCGTAATCGATTATTTATTTTATAACTAAATATATATATAAATTATTATTTAGTGACTATGAAATTTATTTTTAATTTTTCTACAAGACAAAATATTATTTTATATATTTTTTTTTAAATTTTCACTTCAATATGCAATAAATTTTGAATTTTTCCAAAATATGCAAAAATATGTAATAACCTCTAAATATGCAGAAACATGCAAAAAAAAATTTCACCATTAGCTTCAAATTATGATGATTCGTGGAGATAACTGACAAAAGTCCAAAAATATTGAAAGGAAAAAAATATGCGATTGCATAGAAACCGCGCTCTAATTATTACGCTTTACTGACACTTAATAGAATAAAGATAAATAGATTATTAATTATGAGCAAACCTTGAATAAGGTATGTTAATCTTACAAGTACTTGCATGTTTTTTCTTTTTTACGAAAAAGTTTGGTAGAAGTAGGATTACCTAACCATAAAACAGGTAAAATTCATTGATTGATAAATACTATTTCAGTTTTGATTTTTTTTAATTTTTTTCAGAAATTAAAAAACCACATTGTTGATATAAAATCGTTTTTAAATTTAATATGGTAATATATTAGTATTAAATCTTTAAAGTGATCTATTCAAATCAATAGCTAAACTAAAGAAAAAAATAATATCCATTTGTTGTTTATTTTATCATTAAAAATGCATCCAAACCACAAGGCGCAAGAAAAATTTTCTAAAACTAATACATATATATAATGATAATTATTATTGAAAATTAAATTAAATTGTATAAAAAAAAAAAAAAAAAAAATCAAGATAATTAATGAATAAATAATTTTGGTTCAATGAAATATGTAATAAATATATGAAAATCTTAATTGTGAAAAAAATGTCAAGATGTTAAATAAATAATACAATTTTTAGTACAAAACTATTCATCAATTTCATGAAATGGAAAAAATATTCATCTGTATTGTGTAAAAATAAATACTTTTATACTATATTTTTTGTGTAATGAATATCTATTTCACCAAAAAAATAATTTCACTAAATGGATGAATATCTATAAACATGAAATTTACAGGTATGGAACTCAGATTTTTTAAACATTTATGATTATTGCCATTATAATAAAGGTTTATTTTTTCTAAATAGTTCTTAAATTTCTTTAAATAGTTTTTTTCTTTTAAAATAAATTAGTTATATATTGCAAATATATAAAATTTAAATTTAAATTCCTAGTAAATCAGTATGGATCATATACTCGTATGCACTTGCAAAACCAAAAATATATTATTATTATTATTATTATAAATAGATAAGGCTATTGTATAGAAACTTAAACAACTTAAAAAGAATCATTCAAGATATTATAAATATATTATTTATTCCATGATAAACAAATTATTTTATTAATTATTTTTATTTCAAATTAATTTTTGCTGATCTCTTCAATATTTCTATAATTATTTCTACAGTTATTATTAAGCTTAAAATATAAATTTTTCTAAGTGTTTAATATTTATTTGTTATTTATAAAGCAATATGATTAAAAATGTACTACATATTATAAAAAATATATGTTATATTATATGAATATTATAATTCAAATTATTATATTTTCAGTCATAATCAAACAATTCCCTGCGAACTTTAATATTTATTGATATATAAAATATTTAACTGATTGCTGATAAAAACCTTAAATAAAATTAAATCAATTAAATTCATTAAAAATTTATCAAATAAAAGAATGTTGACAGTAATATAATAACTTAGTATATTTAAATAAAATTAAAAGTGTATTGATTTATATTTTCAAAATCATAATATCAAGCTTATGTATTAATAATGCAATATTAATGAATTATGTTTTTTTTTACAAATCGTAGTGCAATAGTTATTTGCATTTTTCTAAATAAGTTTAATAATAAATAAGTCTATGAATTTATTTCTAAACAATAACACTGAACAACTTAGTAATTTATAATTTGTGTTGTACAAGAATCACCTAAGTATAATCTTGAAATTTAATTTAATGGTGGACTTCTTGAATAATGAGACAAATAGTTACAATACACATAATGTACAAAATAACATTGTGTATAACTTAGGATAGAAGAAATAACTTATATAATCAACAAGAACAATCAACCTATTGTTAAGTTAATCAACCAAATTCACGATTTAATTGAGGTAGCTAATTACCTCTATCATCTGCAACAAACTCTTTACCCTGTACAGAATTCCGACAGTTTATAGATAAAGAACTGTTCTGATCGCTATCAGCTGATGTCCAAACAAAAGAACTGTGATCCAGTTTTGTAGGACGCCATGAGTCTGAACGTCTGGGCGGCTAGAAATAAGATAAATTTTAGTGTTACAGTGGTATACAAAAATGCTTAAATGTGATGACGGACTTCTACTCACAATCAACAGGAAGCTGACAATACAGTATGTCAGCGAACAGCCGAAAATTACTGACAGCACGATTTTTCGCCGTATAAAACTGAAAAAAAAAGCTCTCCACATGACAGGCGATTGGCACCAAGCATTTTCAGAGACGGAATACAAGTATAAAAGTGTGTTGGGCTGTAACTGAAGTAGGTGATCCAACACGACGATCAAACCGTAGCCATTGTCCGTACGGTGCAGCTGGTCAAAAAATCAGGTCGACGGAGGAATCGATTACGGTGCGGTGGCGCTCAACGATCCGACCCCGTTCTGAACATTAACAATTTGCTACGGAAAACGCGATAAATCTTAGAAGTTCGAACTTCAATAACAATTTAGTCTACGGTATCGGCGGATGGTGTCGAGCGCGAATTTTTGTCGTACGGCGTTATCATCCGGGTGATATTCCGTACTGGTGATAAGATAATGCGACCGGTTCCGTGATAAGAACGATACGGTGGTGGTTCGGCAGGGTTTAGCATCCAACTTGGCACGTCACTATTTCGACTTCACGTTACGGCCACTTCGGGTTCCAATCGGGTCGATTTTATTTCTGAATCACCAGTAACGAGGAAGTGCACGGACGGCAGTGGCGTAACTTAAAAATCTTAAAAAACCAAAATACTGTAAAAATACCGAGGTATTTTACTATTGGAGAAAAAGGAATTGCAAATCCATCCAGAATTACATCTAGACATGGAGCTTGTCTAAGTGTAAAAGTGATTTGAGTGTATTTGTTATGGTTTACTTTGAAATTCCATTTGGTATACCAGTCTGCTTTTAGGTCTAGATGAGTTTGCAAGTTTATAGATGCTAAAATAAATAGGGTCAGCATTGATGATCATCACATAAATATCATTACATATCATCATCAGTACCTTATCATCAGCACAGTCTGCTATTGATGTGTGGTGGGTTGATTAGAAACGAATAAATTATAGAGGAGAGGAAATAAGATGGGTGTTCCCCTGAGGAACATCAGCGTTTATGCTTGCATAACTTATACAATTATTATGATTCATGCTCGTAATATCTGACATAGATGAATTTGAAAAGCCTTTCTGTCAGGTAAGATTTTATGATTAAATAGTAGGGCGAAAAAAGAAATTTTATGGATAAATTTCCAAATAAAATTTTTATGGATAGAATATATGATAATACATTTACCTAAATATATTTAGTTGTACTGTACTAATCATATAGCAAAATGAGCAAAAATTTATGGTCATCAAAATGTATCTTTTTCTACAAAAATAAATAAGTAAATCAAAATATAATTGATAAATAAATTATTTTATTTAAATATAGGAGGGCTGGCAATTGCAGTTCCGGGAGCACTTAAAGGCTATTCATCTATTTATAGTTTATACGGTGGTGGAGTTTCATGGGAGTTATTATTTGAACCTATGATACGGTTGTGTGAAGAAGGCATAGAAGTCAATCAACGTCTTGAAATAAACCTAAAATCATCAGAAAAAAAGATACTCAACAATAAAATACTCCGGTACAGTATAATACAATTTTTTATACATATATTTTTTATCTGGCCATTTCATTTATGGTAAATTTCAACGAATTTAATCAAAAAACACGCACTAACTTTTATTAAAATATTATGTACCTTATGTTGTTTTTTTATGTATGAAATTGTTTGCAGTTAAATTTTTATTAATAAAAATACTGGACTTTTAAAGAAGAATGGAGAAACATACAAGCTACCAAAATTAGCATACACTATGAGAATTCTAGCAAAAGAAGGAATAGATGCAATTTACAATGGATCATTAACACAGCAATTATTAGACAATTTAAAAGAAGTAAATGGTATAATCAAAGAAAATGATTTAATTAACTATGAGTAAGTTTTCTGAAATTATTTTATAACATTTAATAAATTCATGTTCTATTTAAAACATCCTTTAAAAATTATTGTCCGATATTTCAATATGTTTATAATTTTCTAGAAACTAAATTAAAAAGCGACTTTCAAAGTAAAATAAAAGTTCCTCTAGCTTTTGATGTGAAATTCTATTGTTAATATCCAAATTTTTTATTATTAGGAGGTTTTTACAACTCTGTTAAATTTTTGGCTGCCACTGTTACTGATTTCCTATAATCGTGATCCTGTATTCTTTTACTCCGTCCATCCATCAATTATTGTGTCTGTCTCTGAGTTTTCTACTTGATAGTTTATATTAAATCGATACCCTCATTTAATTTGTTCCCTCTTTTATCATTGTATGTCAAAACCATTTAATTCTATACCCAAACAGCATTCAAAAATGTATACGTGACAAAAAACATATTATGCTTTTAGGGTTGAAATCAAAGAATCATCATTAATTAGTTTAAAAAATGTTATTTACAAAATACACGTGACACCACCACCTAGTTTCAATTTAATATAAAATATACCTATATATATAATGAATAATAATTTGACACAGCTTTCTAAATGTGTCAATTGTATTTATCTAAAAGTAGTATTATAAGATCACACATGTCTCTAAATGTGTCAACTATATTTATATAACAATATTGTTATAATATCCTTTGATCTACATACTCGCATAGTTACATACGTCAGTGGTTAAATTATTGTTTAGCATCACCTCCTAATTTTCATCAGTATAAAGGTTTTTTTTTTTACATGTGAATTTACTGTGGATATATTATAATACAATCCAGATTTATTGCTTATCTATTTTAAATTCGTAAAAGGGTGATAATGGTATTATTAATGCAAAAAACAATTGCAAATAATAAAATAAATTCAATTTATCATATGTTACGTTTATTATTATTTTTATTGCTATTAATGTAAAACGTAATATAACATTCTTTTATGTTATAAAAGTACAAGTGGATGAAGAACGAAAAAAAAATATATACATATGTATAGCAAATTTAAACATGAAACAATTTAATATATAATATAAAGTTATTATTAAGTATTATGAAAATTATTAATTGTATAAAAAATAATTTGGTCTTCAAACATAATTTTAATTCATGACAAATGAACAACTTTAAAAATTCATGTTGGACAAAAAATAATAACTTTTATAATTTATCGTGATAAATTAAGTTTTTTGACAGAATATTCCAGAATCCACTAGTCTAATAGCTCATATTAATCGAAGTTTATCAATTACGGTATTATTTTGATTACCTATTATATTATAATGAATATATCTAATCAAAGTATGAACAGTCAACATAATATTATTTTAATTAATTAGCTATAAATATTAATTAATTTAATTAAAATCATTACTGATCATAATAAATATCCTCAAGTCTTCCCTTAAGTGCGATCATAGTAATTTTAAATTTTTCTTGTTTTATCATAATTTATGATGAAAAATAATTTTATTTCTTTAATGTTTCTAGATTTTTTTTTGTCATTGAACACCTGCAAGTAGATGATATGTAGAATATAATAAAAAATATACATGTGTACGCTAGTATTAATGTATGGTTTATAATTATATATCGTTTTATGCAACGACATATTTACAAAAAAAAATCAAGGCCATTGATTGTCATTATAGTCATATCATTTTGGTAATCACTGAATGTTAAAACCAGTCGAAGCTCTCTCTTCTTTTCCAGTGTACCTATTTCGTATATCATTTAGTCAGTACTCACTCAGTACAGACTAGAAGGTGATTTAGTGCGTTTGTTGTGATTCTATTTTTAAAATGAAGTTATAATTTGTCTTTTTCTGTGTTGTATAAATTATTTTGTGGTGCTTTGCAATTATTCTATATAAACAGTATTTTCAAGATAAAAATATTGTGTGAAGAATAGTTTAAAGGTACAAGAAATTCAAAGTAAAATTGTATTTTATTAATATTTATTCAATACTAATATTCATTAATGTTTAATTGAGTGCAAATATAATGGTATAAAAAAAATTAAAAAATAGTTAAGTTAAAAAGATATATTTTTAATAAAATAATAAATATGCTACTAATTTTTTTTTCAACAGAGGACTTTCATTTTTTATTTTAAGCCTCATAAAAAACGAATACATAATATGAATAATATTCTTTATCAACATTTATTTTCCTTAATTTTAATTAATTTCAGTAAATAAAACTTTATAATAAAATAAAATTAAAGTTTTTTTTTTTTTGTGAAGATCGAATTCGTTTACACAACATACATATTAATATAATGAAATAACAGTAATAATATTAAAGTTAAATAAACAATTTTAAATGAAAGATTGCTTCAAAATTACTAGTATAAATAACTCACATTTATATTTTTAGTATGTTCAAATCATAGATAAATTAGTTTCTATGTAAAATAACGTGCAAATTTTATTTTTATATAATTAATTAGGTTAATTTTACGCTGCGAAATAATAAATATACTACTTTTATGATTCTTTAAATTTAATATAATACACTTCCTATTTTATTCAATTTAATGCATTATACCTATGTTAATTTAAAACTGAATTGTTAAACGATTTCATGGACAAATGTAATTTAAGTTACTCAGCAGTTGCATTAGTTATTTACTATAACTAATTTTTGTTCAAATAAATTCGTAGTTCCAATTACACGCGGTGTGATGTATAAAAAGAATATAACGACAAAAGAATTTTCGTTTCGTTTCACTGGCTCATTCTTCATTTGCAATTTCTTTATCCACACCTGCATTTTATACGAGATAGTAGATAGTAGTGTTAATTTGTTATGTATTTATTTTTTTCGTTTTAGTTTGTTATTTGTTCAATTTGTCATTTAGGGAACAATAAAAATAATTGATAAATTATGACGAAAAGTAGAATCCTTCTAGTGGAAAAAAAAATGAAACACAATATTATTGATTTACGAAAATTATGGTTTTTTTTAGACTATTTATTAAGCTGTACGAATAATGACATTACGAAATCATACCGTTTCAATCTGTGTAGAACCACCATTATTAACTCGTTTTATTATAATCATGATTTATACATTAAACATATTACGAGTATATATTATATTAAACATAATTATGTCGTATACTTCACATTTTTATTTCTATTTCTATTGAAAATTTAGAATTAGTGCAGAAAAAGTGCTACCGAGTGGATGGGGATAATTTTATTTTTCAATTAATTTACTACTGTATGAACGCATTTATGTATCATTTATGTATTGATTTCAATATTATCATCCAATAATTATTGAAAATTAATCGTGCACATCGCGTAATATTTGATACCTCATACTCAAACTACTATTTACGGAAGAAAATAATATTAAGTGGTTCAATAAAGTTTTACTTTTAGTTTATGAGAACATCTTATGAATCTAACATTTTGTCATTTATTTTATTCGTTCATAAAAAATGATTTATGTTCCACGCAGTTAAACTGTTAATCAGTTATAATAGTAGATAGATATTATATTTTATGAACGTAAATTCTAATTCGAAACGAGAACAGTTGTTGAGGTTTATATTTATATACAATGTACAATATACGATTTGTACGTTAGTATTTAGATCATTGAAAATCTAAGGTAACTTAAAATGGAGTGTAATGCCATGAAGTAACTCATTGATAATTGGTCATGTGAAAACTTAATGCTATTTATTTTATGAAAGAACCTCATACAATTTTTTTCTATAAATGATAAGCTCGTGCATTTTTATAGAACAAACTATTGTTTTATTCATGCATAGACACTATGAATGTCCCTCTTTTGGAGTATTGTTTTATCGTTAAGTGTACTTATAAAACTGAAGTAGTTAAATAAGAGTATTTTCAACTTGAATAAATCTATACGATTTACCTATAATAATCTAGAAGTGTTGCACGCTTACATATACTAGTTATTTATAGTTCGCTGAAGACTTAAAAATAAAATAATTCAATTTATTGTTTTAAAAATTGAAAACAAATAATATTAAGACCTTTTTTTAGTCAATATTAACCTATTTGTTATGAACACAATATATTAATATCAATATCGCATCATAGTTTTTAACCAATTTCAAATCAAATAAAAAAAAGATTTTAATGTTTAATTTTTGGAAGACCATAATAGTTAATATTTATATATATGAGTGATAATTTACACAATTTTAATTTATGCTAATAATAATAAATATATTAGAACTTATGTCTTATTTTAAATTAAATAAAATTTATTATAATACTAAAATATGCATTCAACATAAAAATTTATTTTTACAAAAGTTTCTATTTCTTTTATACTAAATCTGCATTAATACAGCTTCATTTACATAAAAAATACAATATAAAAATTTTAATTATTAATTATAATATGAATTTTAATAGGAAAAAAAAATCTAATTAATGTATACTATTAAAGTTGATCTTGAATCCAAGTTCTGTTAATTTTCATCTGTATTTACATTACATATTTCATTCATTTGTATGTCAATATTATACCATACAAATATTGTTTATATCATGATTGAAATTTCACCATTAAGTTCTAATGAACAAATTTCCTTTCTCTTCTTTCACAACTCAAAATAAATAAATTATCATTGTTTATAACGAGATATATTTTAAATCAATAATCTATTTTCTATTATAATTATGTATTTTTCATATAAACACGAAGCATTTTAAATGTTATGTTCATAAAACGATTGATTTTTGTAATCAAATTAAAACATAAATACTTGATCATGAAATAGTCTCACGTACGTATTCTTTTTATTTTCTACATAATTTACGTAATTTAATTTATTGTTCTTCAAAATATGTAATTAACATAGGCGTGCGCACAGGTGTGGCTTATAAGGCTATAGCCACACCTGAGACTTTTTTTAGGTAGGTAGGTACTAAGTACTTAGGTAAAAAGGACTTATAACTTTTTTTCGGAAGATCTAAATTTTTTTTATCAATTTTATCAAATTACAGACAAATTAAAATTACTGACGTTCATTGATAATCAAATTATACGTCAGTTTTTCTAATCAATTTTATTTCTACTTACTTATGTTTTGTATTTCTATTTTTTTTTTTTTAAGGCGGGGTTTTATAAGGGGTGGGTGATCAAAAAAATAAAAGCCACACCGGAAACAGGAATCTGCGCACACCTATGGTAATTAACTATAACGATTTATGTTCCCATTTTTTTTATATACCTTAGGGAAAAACTAAAATGTCACATCTGTATTGAATTTTTAATCTATGCTCAACATGAATAAATGTTCTACACCAAAAAAACAGGCCCTGATTCATATATGTGGTACACAAGTACTGAGCTCTCATACAATTTATAAGTAGTTGGGCTTTCTCATTTTGTAACCAAAAAATTTAATTTTTTTTTTTTTTAGATTGAGTGCTTAACAAGCAATAATTATGGAAAAGAAAGTGAAAATATTTATTTATCTAATTATAATTTGCATATTATTATAAATTTTAGTATAATTTATATTATTTGTCATCTTCTCAGTGTAATAAAAATATTGTAACAAATTAGGGTTTAAAGACACAATCAAAAAATTTGCAAAAAATATAAAAATATATATTGTAATTAAAATATAAAGTTATGGATTAGACTTATAATAGTCCTTCTAAAGTATTTTTTTTCAAGTCATAAATAGTGTATAGGATCTTTATTTATAAAAATCATGTTATGTCAAAAATAATTCTTCATGAAAAATCAAAATTAATGTAAAAAATTAATAATTTTCTAAGTTCGATAGAATTTGAAAATTTATAAATATAATATAACATCACGCAAAGAATCAATCTATTATATGCTTTTTCTAAATATATAAACACCATGAATAATTTTTTTCGTCCTTGTCCTAAACTTCTTTACTAATTGTCAAACACAAAATAATGGCTTCATTTTCATTTTTTCCTGGCATGAAACCAAATTGATTTTCCTACATTTATGTCTCACTTCTTATTCTTTTTTCTATAATATTTTACCAAATTTTCATACTATGATTCTTATAGCTTTATTCCGCTATAAATTCTACATTCCTGTATATCTCTTTTGCATTTAAATATTGCTACAATAATACTTTTTCTCCAATCTTCTGACATTTTTCTTCTACTAACACCACTCCTAATAAAAAAGATCTTTCAACCATCAAAGCTTACACCCACTATAATTGTCCACACCTCTACAAGTACTTCGTCTCGTCCTACCACTTTTTTTATTTTTCATCGCTTTCACCGTAACCTATACTTCCTCCTCACTAACTGAACCAATCAATCCTTCATTCCATGAAGTATTATTTAAAGCTTTTTTTGGATACTCATCCGTTCAGTAATCTCTCAAAATATTCTTTTTATCTCTTTTTCACATCTCCATAGTTTGTTAATACCCTCTTATCCTTATTTTTATACACCAAATATTTTGAAAGCCCCTGGATCGTTTTTTTTTAACTTTAGCCAGACTATAAAGTTTATTTTTCTCCTTCCCGTGTTTCTAGCTTCTTATATAACTCATCATACTTATTAAGTTTCACTTTTATTACCACACTTTGCACTATTTTTCATACATTTTTTTACTCTATCCAGTCTTTTCTCTACCTGATTTTCTGTCATAACTTGAATTTATTTTTCTTGTTTGCTACTACTCTCTGAATCTCCTTATCTTACCATCACGTTTCCTTGTTTTCTGGTATAATACTCTTGGTTTTACCAACAACCTCTTTTGATATATTCTTAACACAAGTTTCCATTTATCAAACCTCGATATTATTCCCTCAAAATTCCACACAGCTCTTTCTTTTGCTTCCTTCATAAACTCCTTTTCTTTGTTTCCTATTAATTTGTACCACCGAATTCTCAATTCGTTTTCGGTTTTCCTTTTTTTACTTATTAAATATAACTCAATTTTACCGTAATAATTCTATCACTATTGCTTCCAACGTGGACTTCCTTACTATTAATCTCTTTATCCAATATTACTCCAACCCCATTCCTAGTATTAATCCTACCTAGATATATTATTTTTTAGTTTTCTTTTATTTTTGCTTTCTGTACTTAGTTTCCTGAACACAACAAATACTAATTTTCCTCCTCTTCAATACTTCCGCTAATTTACTACTTCTGCCTATGAACATTCCAACACTCCACTTGCCTATTCTTACTTTATTTCTATCTTCCATACCTATACGCAGATTTAATCCGAAGTGCAATGGTGATATCCCTACACTGTTAATATATCCGTGTTGGGTAGACCTGAACACATAACTGGTGAACCAGCTACCATCTGGTTGTCCGGCTGTTATCACACACTTCATCATTTAGGCTTCCTCCACCTTCAACTATGACACTTATTCTCAGTTGTCGCTATGCGCATATCCGAAATGGTACAAAACGCTTAAGTTTTTTTTCGGATACATTTAAATTATTTTACTTTATTACATTGTGTATGTGGAACTATTCTAAAACTGAATTAATTGAATTGTTAATTTTGGTATTTAATATTTCTAATTTAGTATTGACATGGATGTTAAATATGTTTCAAATTTTTCATTTTTCCACATTTAATAAAATTGTAAAATACATTTTTTCTGATACTCTTAATTATTAAATTATTGTATTATTTATGACTCATCAATAGGTATGGTGGGAGATCGTACTTGTCTCTAAAATATCTTATTCCCTCACCAAAAATATCATCTACAAGATTGTACCATTTAGTAGTACTGACTCGATGAGTTTCCCGTAAAACGGTCGGGACTAGAGAGCGAAAGCAGGCTCGCCTTTGTGACGTTGAAGGTGAACGCGTTGGGAGCATGGTGCCGAAACATAATTACCAACCACGTCACATCGATGAGAGAGCACTGTGGTGGTGGCTCACCACAGTAATATCGATATTTAGTGATTAGTTGTTATTATTGATATTAATATATTTTATGCCAGTGGTTCTTTTTTTTTGCTGTATTGGTTTTTCTTTTTTTACGATATGACTGGCATTAATTTAAGTACAATAATTTTTTGGTAAAACTAAATATAAGAAAAACAATTGAATAATAGTAGCAAAGATAAAGAAAAAACTATAGTATAATATAATATGTATAATATGTGAAATTAATATCTGGTAACAAAAATTTGGAAGACTAGGCTGAGTTGAGATTACGTATTATTCTGTGGAGTAGATGATTGAATCCGTAGGAAATGCGGTGGTACGGTAATTGAAAAACCGAATGATTTCTAGTAGAGTGAAAAGGAACATGGAACGAGATAAAAGAAATCAATTCAGGAAAATCTAGAGATCCCTCAAGAAGTGAAGAGATGAAATGATGGTCAGCCCCTGCGCGGCGAGAGGCTAAAGAAGGGGTTCGAAGATTAGAGGAAATGAGTGAGTAGTCATGCATGGGATGTTTCATTTTTAATTTGAAGGCAGCATAGGATAAAATCTGTTTTGTACTTGCTCTATTCGGTTTTGAAAACAAACCGATACCGATATTTTCGATACCACCAATATCGGCCAACACCAAGTTCTAGGATTTACCTAGGATTCCACCTTTATTAATAATCATCGAAGCATAGGCGTGCGCACAGCAGGAGCCGAGTGTACCCAGGAATCCTCGGAATATTGTAAATGGGCTCCTACAGTTTAAGTCTAAGTGTAAAGGGCTCAAATTTTAAATGATATTGCTCAGATTAAATGTAGTTTATTCAAAAATATTTAATAATAAATAAATTATTTTGTATTAAAAAAACAAAACAAAATGTTTTACATTTTAGCACGAAAACTTATTGTGATATTATAATAGCTACAATTAATTACAAAAGTACAAATCATAAATAATTGAAGCTATCTGAAAAAAATATAAAAAATTCAATGAAAACATATTCATTGTGCCTAAAATAGCACAGTATAAAATATAATAAATTAATGATGTTGTGTTTATTTAATTATGTATGTGTTATAATTTATTGAACATATCTACACTTCTATTGAGATAGGGCCCAACAGTATTGCAAGTAACCCCTGATGTATAGGTCTGCATACGCCAACGCATCAAAGTGAATTATTTTTAAGATTATAATAAAAAAAATTTGATGGATAGGAAATGTGTAAGGAAACCAAACGATTATAAAAATAAAATATAACTAATGACACGGTGCAATTATTTTAAATTTAATTAATATTTTAATCAAAACAAATTTTGCATATTTTTTTATTTGATTACGTAAAGCAGACACGATAATACGTGAAACTTTTTTAGAGCTTAACATAATGTTAAGTATAACATCATGAAGTGGATACTTGATAATATCACGGTAAATTATCAAGTTATAATTTTTATGACCACACAAGTATTTACAAAAAAAAAAAAAATGTTTTAATAGTTTCGTCTCATTTTACAAGTATTTTGAATATTTTAGTTAAAATGTACGTGATTGATTATTAATTGTTATCTGTAAGTATTGCATACTTATATAATTTTGAATATAGTTTCCTACATCAATATTTTTATGTGTTATTGAAGTTGTACGAATTTCAATCGGACAGGTAAATATTCACTGCTATGCTGTAAACTAAGTATTTGAAATGCACGTAGGTACTCATCGTCTGATTAGCCAATAATGAAATACTTGCATCAGAATATTTGGTGTAAGCTTATCGCATCAACTCGAATGCATGATCGATGTAAACGATTAAAGCAGTTGACTAAATCTATAATAGCACCTTCGTTGACACCAACTAGGATGACTTCAGTATTATTTTCGTTGTGTCAGTGCGCAAATGTGATACAACTATTGCAAAATTGTTTTTTTTTTTTTTTAGATTACGACACCAGCCCATTGGTAACCCCGCGGTAATTAAACCAACAAAATGATTACCAGGTACGTCCTCGCGTTTATAATTATCATGCGACCGTTTTGACCGACGCATTGTCTTACGTAACGCGTATTACGTGCAGACGTATAGTTATGGAAATTTATCGAAAAAAAAAAAACAATAAATAAATTATAATAAACTAACATTGCTTTAATATAAACACAAAGTAGGCATATTCCGTGTTATTAGTACTGCTACAATTGCGAGTTTATACCAACTACCTACCATATTACCATGTTACCACCACCACCACTACTATTACTATTACTATTATTCCTCGATGCATAATATTATAATCAACTGTTGGTTGTGATGCGTAATGCAGCAATGCAGCCATTCGATTCTGTGGTGGTTGAACATATTTTATCAATACACAGCAATCCGTTTATGAACATCGCCAACTCGTTTTTAAAATTTGCTGTTATGTATTGTTGACAGTATATATAACTGTTTAAATGAAAGGTTACGAGAATCTCAACATTTCTGAAAATACAACGCTACTAAGACATCTGCTAGACAAACCTAGGTCAGTAACTATTGATTTTCATTATAACTATACTTTTCAAAATTGCGGGGCTTCACGAGACGCGATGAAATGATTTCTCGTGGACTCTTTATCATTATTACGTATTCTAGAGAAAATGTACAGCCCATTTTATTTCCAATTATCAATTTCAAATCCAATATATTTTCAAAACTATGTATTTATATTAACTACTGTCTTCATTTTGTTCCATTTCAACGTGAATTTCATTAAAAATTCATATTACACCGCTATCTACTTTTTGACAAATTTATATTACTGCTCAGTAGTTATATAATATTTTAAAATTATTTCTATGTTACATAAAATTATATTTAAAAATTAGTATTAACCGTTGCAAATGAGATCTTGGCCAAGTATTATAGATATTAAACACAAATAGTTTTATTATTTATTAGCTTCTGTAAATTATTACTCAACGAAAACACTAAACATTTTATCATATATTCCGGAAATAAGCATTTATCATTCCTACATTCGTCCTTGAAATTACAAAGAAACTATTATATAGTTTTTCAAGCTACATTTTAAAACGCTTAGCTATATTTTTCTGAAACATATAGTCATATTTAAATTTAAAAAAAAAATCAACATTTAAATTACATTAGATCACATTTAATTAAGTCACATTTAAATTAAATTAGGTAAAAATGTCTGGTTATTGTTAATTTCAATATTGTAAAGTCGTCCTACATAATATGAATGCATAGATATTATTATAAGAATCTTATTGTTTGTATCAAAACAAAAACGTAATATACATAAGAAATTTCTTGATAAACGAATTTGGATGATGGTAGGCGGTGTACAATACATTTGCTATCAGCTATCACGTGCTCCGTTTTTACCAGATATGTTTATATAGTTCACTTAATCAAAATTTTGCTATCGGAATATTTTTATATAGAAAACAACTGATACTTCGGTATACAGACGAAGAGTATCTTTTAGTTTTAAATATTATTATTTGAGGTAATTCTAGGTAATCTCTATAAAGAGATTTATATTTCATGTAGTTGAAATATGTATATGAACTTTGAAAATGTCCTAATTAATAACTTAAAGGAACATAACATTAATTATCAATAGTGTTCCATACGTGCACATTTATGTGTTATCGCCTACTAAAAGATAATAAAAAGATTCATAAATTAGAACTATAAAAAAAGGACATTTAAATATCAGAGTAATAATTGAACTCTTTAATTGTAGGGAAAATAATTTTTTCGAAAAAATCCACACATTATTGTATTTACATCCAATAGTTTCCTAGAAATAAATAAATGTTAGGGTCAGCTATTAATTATATCAAATAGTTTGATTACCGTGCATAGTATCAACAACCATATACAGTAATGTGTTATGTTTCTATGAACAATTAACATACATTCATATAATTTTTTTAAACATCTCTTATTTTACAATATTAATTTAAAATCAACATAAAATACGTTTACGGGAACGTTGTACATTCGAATAAGATCTTTGGGAATGCCGAATTACGCCGAAGAAGATAGTTGTTTTTCAGGTACATATTTAATTACTGTAAATTTAATATGGTCCACATAAATTAATCTCATTAAACTCGTGCCATAATGCAACACGAAAAAATTTAGCAATTATAAGTTTGCTATATCTGCGTACTACACACAATACGGTTCTGTATTTTTGTATTTCTCTACTTTCTTCACTTCCAATCAGTCCTTATTTTATTTCTCTTTCGGTTATATTCTTCCTGTTCTCTCTCATTTTACCCAGTGTTGATGTCGCTCGTTTACGACTCTACGATTCTTCGCGTCCCAACTTCTCATTGCTTTAATTTATTTTATGTTCCAACGAATTGACCTCAAGCAGTGTTTGAGATTCAAAACGGTGAAAATGCATTGGTGTCAATCAATTATATAAATTGCGAGACATTTATAATTTGTACTTAACTCAAAGCATATTGCATGTACAAGACGAACATAATCCAATAAACCGGGTACTGTTTCTGGGGAATCGTTTTGAACTCGGGTTTCTTAAACTATCTTGACCATTCTTCCGATTACCGACACTGCGATTGAGCTTGCACCCTTGCACGCATTGTCCGTAGTACAATTATGTTACGCTATAATGTTCCAACAAACACACGCTGTTGGATTGTGCCTTACGTGGAATACGACGTTATTTTTTCAGATTGCAATCAAAACGTTGCCTTGTTCTAGTAGGACTGGTAATACTGGCCGCCATCTTAACGTTCCTGATCGTATTCTCGGAGCATGTCGTCGACATCGAGCTGCCCGACCCGGAATTCCCGTTGCCACCGTCCAGCATGCCCATGGGACTGTACAGCGAAGTGGGAGTTGTATCCAACGGAGGACCGTGCGCGCAGATCGGAGTGTAATGATCATAATAATATACTGTCGTGTTGCGTTATAACGAGGGTCAGGGTCTTCTAGCATTTGGATGTGTATATAGATTTTTTTTTATTTGAAAGAATAATAAAATAGCGGAGTCAGATAGTTGACGAATCCTAATGTTGAAAGATAATGCGTAGATAATATTGTTGAAAATGTACAGAAAAAAAAAATAAAAGTCGATCGATAAATTTATTAAACACGGTTTTTGGTAGAAACGATTAACGAACCGACGGAATGCAATTATCATGTGATTACATCTATATTAATCAACATACATTATGAACACTCAACGTATCTATAATATTTAATTTGTCTAGCAGTGGGGACAGGTGAATTACTTATCACGTACGGAAACGTGTTTTCGTTTCTCTTTGTTCAACAACAGTATTAGTGTAACTATGTAATACTTTATATGAAATCAATTATCTTGATAACGGAGTTGTGCAATTGAATACATAATATCATTGAAACGTTCGCGAAACCGATAACCGTACGTAAGAATTAAATGTAACGACGAATTTATAATAATGTACTTGCGGTGTTGTAAACAAAAGATTACTCATCCATTACACTCCGAATATACTTTATTAGTATTTTGTAAACATTTATCAATATATCAAAGTTACCAATTTGATTATGGTACAATATTCTAAAAAGTCCGCAAAATTGTCACGTATGATATCAAAAATATTTTCTTAAAGCTGTCTGGTAAATTATTTTTCCAACACGATAATTATACGAAAACAACTTTTTGTGGTCGTTAACGTCTTTCAGCAATACCAAATTCAAATATTAAATTGAGACTATTGATTTCTATACTATTGAACTAAGACATTCGAAACTAATTTGAACTGTATTGAAAAAGGGATGTGATGTCAAAGGGCGGAAATGCTGTGGATGCCGCTATAGCTACCATGCTATGTGACGGTGCTCTGTGTCCAGAATACATGGGTATTGGGGGAGGATTTTTGATGAGTATTTACAACGCTACGACCAAAAAGGTAATGTCTATCAATGCACGTGAAACAGCTCCAGCAGCTGCAAATTCCACAATGTTTGTCAAAGATCCTCACAAGTCTATTTACGGTGAGTACTAAACAGGAATTAAAAAATATAATTTTTATTTAACTGAATGTAGAGTTACTTTTTTATTATTGTGTATTGTTGTGTTGTGTTTAAGGATTAATTATCTATCTAAATATATGATATAATATAATAATGGAGTCGTTAATTTGTGAACATTTTTTCTTTTTTTCTACATTTATACATTTATGCATTATTATTTATAAAAATACGAACAACTTATTTTCGCATGACTATTATATTTTAATAGCACTTAGTTAGTATTCGGAATATAACGGTTCCTATTTGAAATAATATATTTTTATATTAATAATAATTTCAATAATTTAAAAACCTAGGAGGGTTGGCAGCTGCGGTTCCAGGTGAACTTAAAGGCTATTCTACCATATATAATTTATATGGAGGTGGGGTTTCGTGGGAATCGTTATTTCACCCAACTATAAAATTATGCGAGGAAGGCATACAGATCAGTAATCGTTTATCCATAAATTTGAACAACCACGAAGACTTAGTAAAAAATGACCCAATGCTCAGGTAAATGAGATATATTTTTTTATACACATATTCATTATGACAAAAATTTAATTAAGATTATTAAAATTTTTCAAATTGTTTTTAATACATTTATACACACAATATTCGAAATATGTATCGGAGTACATTTTGAAATATAAATTAATTTGTTTTAGAGAGGCTTTTTTCAATGAGAAAACCGGACATGTGAAACAATCCGGAGAAACATATACGTTGCCGAAGTTAGCAGAAACAATGAAAATAATAATAAAAGAAGGTTCAGATGCAGTATATAATGGGTCATTAACACCTAAATTACTAGAAGACTTGAGAAAAGTCGGTGGTATAATTACAGAAGAAGATTTGGCCAATTATAAGTAAGCCAAAGTTTTCATTTTGAACCACATATAGGCGTGACTATTATTTATCCTCTTATAATAAATTTTATTCATAACAACAGCACTCACATAAATAAATCTTAATCAAATTTAGATTATTGTTTTGAAAAAAATTAAAACGATTTTATGATCATTCTAAAAAATGGAACTATTTAGATTCTGAGTGAATAGAGAAATGTTTTACCGTGATTTGCGTTTTTTTTGTACATATGATTTCAATCAGAAGAATTGTTCTTATCAAAATCAACACTCTATTTGGTACTTTGACGAGAGTCATTTCACAAAATTAACATTTGTTAAACAATTGTGAAAAACTGACCGGATATACGACATACCGGATTTCGAAAAAAGTTAGTTTTTATTTTCATCACTACTAAAAATATAATTAAGTATGCTAAAGCTTTAAAATTTTCAATGAAATTCTTTATTATTGCTTCAGTAAAACTTTCTAAAAAATTTTTAGAGTTGCATAAAAAATTTAAAATTTCCTGTTGTCATAGCTTTTTTTTGAAAATAGTAAAAAAAAATTTGCTTTGACAATAAATCCTGAAAATGACATACAAAATTGTTTATAAATATTTTTTCCTGATTAAAGAAAGAAATCGAGCTTAATTTCAATAAAATTTTTTGTTAATAAAATGTTTGAAAATTGAAAATTGTGTATCAGTTTAACATATGATTTTTTTCGTAGTCAAAAATAAAATGTACTGACAATTCGTCAAAATATTTTAAAAAACGTTACGAAATGAAATGTTGACAAAATTGGATATTTCAACAAATTTCTGTTGAGCGATTCTAATTATTTTTTGTTGGAGGCCCTTCATAGTACAATTTTTGATTTTTAAAGGTATTCTAAATTTTGAAATACCATTCTTCGATAGTTAAAACATTAAAAATGATATCTAACATATTAAGATTCATTTACTACATCAACTACCTTTAGAATTGTAAACTGATCCATCCGAACTCCTTTTACTCAGGATTATTTTTTCAAGAGTACATACATTTTAAGTTCTAAAAACCAATACAGCAATATTCTTTACTCATCCTTTTATCATTCCTTTAGGGAGTTTATCTTTTAGATTACAAATAGTAATTAAAAAATCAAATAAAAAAATATAAAATTATATGATACCCAGTGGCGTATTTTCAATTTTTTCTGGGGGGGGGTCCACAGTTTATACATAATTAATATAAACTATATATTATATTGTAATAGTTACGTACTTATGCAGTTTTTGGAGGAAGTTGAACTAAATATATAATGTAATAATCGTATAGTCTTATGTAATATTATATATATGTACCTATATATTGTATTTAGCATTATATATTATAAAGTATTGTTATAAAATAAATTCCAGTTGTCTCGATTTTTTGGCCAATTCCTCTATCACTTCATCAACTTCCCTGTGAATGTTTAACATACCCAATTCTGCAAATATGTAAGAATTGTTGTTAATTTTTTATTTTTTGGAGAGGTTCTGGGGGGGGGTCCAGTACCCCTGGACCCCCACCCCCGTAAATACGCCACTGATGATACCTGTATTAAAATTTAATATTTACGAAAAATAAAAATATATACTATTATTTATTTAATTATTTTAACTCCTTCAATAATTCGATATATTTTAAATTATATGTAAGGTAAAGTGGGGTAACTGCAACGCAATTTTGAGTAGTTCCACTTAAACTGTTCATTTCTCCTGAAATAATTAAAAATATGATGATTACTGAAATGTAGTGATATGGAAGTGCTATATTTAAATATACTGTCAAAATTGTGTAAAATTTTTAAAAAATAATTTTACGTTTGAAAATTAAAAAAAAAAAATTCGCTTACCTCTTAACAAGGGGATAAATGCAAAATGGACTTCTTAAAAATAATAATACCACTGTTATTTAAACGTTGGGTAATTGCCTTAAATTAAATAGTTGTATCTATAATACTACGTTTTCGAAGCTGTATTTGTTCAAATTGTTTAGAAAGACAGCTATTGTTATAATTTCAAATATATTGTTATTATACATTTTTATCATATCTTAAAAACTATTAGAAGCTTCTCGTTACTTACATTTCACTTTGCTCTCCTATAAGAAATTTTAAAATTTTAATTATTTTAATAAAACAACAAAAAAAAAATTTTCTAATACTATAATACAAAAATTATGTTTATAATATCTTATAATTTTTTTTTATACACCTACGTAAAAAAACATAAAATTAGAAAATTACATACTTAGAAATAAATAATAATAAAATATGAACATCTTATAATAATAATTATATAAATCAAATGCTTTTAAGTAACTACTTAAAAATAATTTTTAGCTTAAGTAATTAAAATAATTAATACTTGTATTAATTTTTAAAAGAGCCAAATGCAGCATGTCATATCGCACTTACATATAAATTAATGTCGCATTTGCCCTGTTGGTCATTTCACATGGGGAAAGAGCATAATCCGAATTAGCGAATATAATTATATTATATTATATTAAACATGTAAATATAACTAAAAACCTAAACTACACATAAAATTACACAACTTACTTTACTTTTACTTTACTTTACTTTTTGAAATCTCCGAAATAAATTGTTATAAATAAATAATTTAAATTACCAAAAAAAAAAAAAAAAATGGATAAAAAGTCTGCTTTTCAAAATGGAAGTGATAATACAATTTTTGACATCAACTCTAATAAGACGATAACGAATAAACGTACTATGTTGCAAACTAGGTATTTAAACTCCTATTATATTGTAAATTAATTTTCATTATTGATATGATTGATAGAATTTATTTATCTCACAACAATATTAGAAATCACACTTATCTCAGTTAGGCACTTACCTCACTTCAACTTAATCAAAATAAAAAAAAACACCTTTTTTTTTATTTTTAGGGTTGAAATTAAAGAATCTTTTCCGGTGACATTAAAAAACCAATTTACAGTACACGTGGGGCCACCACCAGACTCTGGTATAATATTAGCTTACATTCTTCGCATACTAGATGGAATGTTACCAGCACCTGATGCAGGCCTAGACGCACATCGATTGGTGGAGGCTTTCAAGTTTGGATTTGGGGAAAGATCACGTTTGGGAGATTCTAAATTTGTAAAAGTGTCTGAAGTATGTATCATTTAAGACCCATCGGCATAGATGACAGTATATAACTAATTTATTTTGTAGATTTATGAAAAAGTAAAATCGGATAGTTACATAGAAAGTATACAAGCCAAAATATCGGATAATTTCACTTCGTTGAACCCTAAATTCTACGGAGCTGATTTTGATATGCCGGATAATCACGGTACAGCTAACATGGTTGTAATAGATTCGGCGGGAAACGCCGTTGTTGGCACCAGCACATTAAATACGTAGTGAGTAAACATTAAATATTGTATATTCAATTTAACTTTTATGGTCATCATTATTCTTCTGCACCAATTAAATGTATATTAGATATATTATTCAATTTAGTTTATATTCTCATTTTTGTTTTCTAGCTTCGGCTGTGGTTTTATGTCGCCGAGTACTGGAATCATTATAAACAATGAAATGGACGATTTTTCCACTCCTGGAGTTGTCAACTATTACGGAATCCCATCGTCGTCAACCAATTTCATAGAACCAGGCAAACGGCCAATGTCTTCGATGTGCCCAACTATAATAACAGACAAAAAGGGTGATTTTTTTCTTGGAGTGGGAGCAGCCGGTGGTTCAAAAATCACTCTGGCTACTGCTTATGTAAGATAAATTAAAAATTAAATAAAATTTGATTAATAGGATAGACTTTAAATTATTTAAATCATCTTGTTGTGTAAAGTAATATTAATTTCTTAATAATAAAGTCTATGAGTATTATTAATTTATTAATAAATTATTAGTATATTTAATTTTTAGAATCATTTATACATTTTTTTATTTATATTGTTTTTATTTAAATTTCAAAAATTATTAATACATTTATTTAGATTCTGAAAAAAATTAATTTTTAGATTTTACCACATTATCTTTTCGAAGAAAAAAACGAAAATAACAATAACAAATAAAGATTGAATAATTTTACATTTATGAAAATAACTCATCGAATCAACAATAATATTTATACTGGTAGCTTATTAATATTTAAAATTATATATGTCAATTAACGAAATTTGGCATATGTATTGAATTATAAATAGTTTTTATTTTAAAATATTTAATTCGATTATTAAAATTAACGGTTTAGACTATAACTTATATAGTAATCAGTTTATATAGCGTTATTTATGAAAAAATCAAATCAAATTAAAATTACTTTATAGAAATGTAACTTTTCGTTCTACATTTTATTTAGGATAAGGTATAAATACTAATAAATAACAAAATACAACTAAAATTAACAGTCTTCATAAATATTTTCAAACATTGATTTAGCTCTAAATGAATTTGTCATAAAAATTTTCTATCAAAATGAATGATTCTAATTTAAAAAAAACTTTTAAAATTAAATATTGTTGGTTCTATTTATTTTTGAATTAAAATAATTAATTTGAAACTAATGAGCGCTATTTTCAAATGAAATATAACCAAAAATTATTAATTTAAAATTACAGGTGTCAGCTCTTAAATTGTGGTACAATAAAACACTGAAAGAAGCAGTAGACAAGCCTAGACTTTACCACCAACTTGTACCTATGATAGTACAGTATGAATACGGAACGACTAAGGCAAGCCAGAAATATTCCAACATGAAATATTTAACATCTGATGATTATTGACCATGTTTTCGTTTTTAGGATGTGGTTCAAAAGCTCAAAAGTATTGGTCATCCGGTCGAGAGATTAAAAAACACTATAGGTTCAGCTGCAACAGCGATTGGAAAATCTCTTTCTGGAACGATCGAAGCTATGCCAGATTTCCGACGACCAGGAAATTCGTCGGGATACTAAAATGTTTAATTAATAAGAAAATTTTTATTATATTTATGTTGTTTAACGTATGTTGTAAGTTCCTATAATAATTTTAACCTTAGACCATAATGATCCAGTATCATTACAATGATGAGTGACCATTACAATATATTATTGTTAGTATAATTTTAGCATATAAATATTGAAATGTTATTATAAGTTTTGTTTATTAGTTCAGTCTTTTTACCATTTCCATGATCATATGTTTCGTATAATAATATTATTCGTACTAAATTTCACTAAATGTACAAAATTATTAGCTGAGGTTATCATTGTTAAAAATTATATAAAGATGTATTATTATACAGTATGGGAATTGGAGTGATATGAAATGGATATATGAGTACACACATATTTTAATATCCCTCTCAAATTTATCCGTCAGTCCTAAACGGTTCCAATTATTTATTATGCATACAATTAGAACATTTATTACAGTTGCACCTGTTAAAATAAAAATACCCAATAAAATATCGATAAGTTAGTACCCATTATTATTTTTTTCAAATTATATAATTTTGATAAATACGTCGCTGAATTTTTTTTTAAGTTACGAACGTATTTAAATAATTTCATTTTGTTCATAATATCAATCGTTAAATTTTAAATAAACTGAGAACATAAATATTTTTAAATGTCTTAGTACTTTTTATATAGCAACAACATAACTTATATAGTTATAAGTTATACATAAATTTATATATACTTATAAGTTCTATTATAAATTTTTTTATTTATGTTTGATATCGGTTAGGATTTTACTAGCAATCAAAATATTTAAAAAAAAACATACGAATTATGAAAATTCAATAAGACTATATAATTTAGCTAATTTAGACAATTTGTATATCCAAGAAGAAGCAAAGTCCAAGTGTATTATTTTAATTTTAAAAGGAGTTAGAAGAACACAGAAGGTATGATCTAGTATCTACGCATATATTAGGTATATTTCGTAATATAATCATCATAGAGATTTATGATCTTATTTAATTTCAAGAGTAATATATACATAGGTATTCTACAGACATATTACATTATAGCTGTAGAACTACAAAATAAAATAAAATGGAAGTTAGTCATTGGTGTAATTTCATTTTCATATCATATCAATCACTTCTTGGTTAATCAAACATATTATACTCATTATTGCAAGAAGAGAGTTTTCAATTGTAATAATCTAAATTCCTCACATAATTAATTTCAGTTTACTGATAGTTTTGATATATATTTTTTAAAACTCTTCTTAAAAATGGAACTTATTCTAAGTTTGTTATGAATTCGTTCATTGATAATCCATTGATAATATTATATTATACCTAAAGACTAGATTATAATTGCATTAAATATATCTTCAAATTGCACTAAAAATATGTCAAAATTACAATAAAAATTTATCAAAGTTGCAATATAAATATGTTATAATTGCAATGAAAAATACATTAATATTATGTAGTAAAATTATATCAAATACACTCATTAATTACTAACATAAATAAAATTATGGACATTAATATAATATTTTCAAAATATATCATTTTTCTGTATTAAAATTTATAATTATATACATCTCTAAATTGCGTTCTTGAAAATTGTATTATCTGTTACTTAAAATATATTTATATAATGAAAAATTACGTTCAATATCTACACTAGTTATCGATGAATATTTAAAATAATTAAAAAAATTGGTGTTATATCTAAATTAACATTTTGATTTCCTGTCATAACCTCAGAGTATGTTTTAATATTTTTATATCCTTCATTTTTTCCTAAGATATATTTTTTAATTTATCTTTAACTATTTTCCTATTGGGATTGGGAATATACATCGAAGTATTTTCAATTTCTCTAAATATGTTTAAAGTATTAAGTAATTGATTATTTGATTCTTCTAAACTTGTGAGTTTTGTGGATAACTCAGATAAATATAATTTTAAAAATGCTAAACTACATTTAAAAATTTACGTCGTAGTTATATTTTTATTTTAAAATTACTTTAGAAATAGTAATTTGTATATTTTCTCACGTGAATTATACAAAAATTGCAATAATAATTATTTATTAATTAATTATTTTCAATTATTAAAAAAATTGCAAAAAATTGCATTATTAAATTAAATAGGAGACTGTAATTAATTCGATTCCTATATATATTTGATTTACCTAGTATCAATAAAAAGTTGTAATATCTATTAAATCCGGTCTTTAATTATAATTCATGGATTATTTAAACAATTAAAATTTAAAATATTCAACTAAAACTCGTTAATAATATTGTACAGTAGATACCTTTCATACTATATAGTAAATAATATTTTTATTGAAACGCTTTGTTATATTTAAAACTTATAAAATACAAATTAGTATACTTCATATTTTCGTGGTTGCATATGTATATTATGAAATATCTAGAATTTTAAATTTTCTTTTTCGGGCGAGTTTGTAACGAATCTTCCTCGCAGCTATTAATTTGTAAAATTATTACACATTTGTACTTATACAGTTTTTAATAATAAATAAGTTAACTAAGTACAAGTTATGTTTTTGATTCTAAATCTAAATTAATTCTATTATACGTCTATTGAATACAATTTTTTGCTTTTGTTTTGTTCCACTGAATGCTTAACATGTGAGTAATTCTCACGTTAAATGGAACAAAAAGCCATTAGTAGAACACTTTACATTAAGGAAGCAATAGTAATAGCTATTACATTTAATTGTTACGTTTGATTAACCCATATTCAGTTTAGTATAGTACTTTAATTTCCAATTGAGTTTATTCACAAGATTTCGGATCACCGGATATTTGATTATTTTATATTTTAATCAACGAATAAGTGTTAGTACTTAAAGACAAAAATAATTATTTTTGACAAAATATACAAGTGTGCGAAGCTTTAATATTTATAAAGAAGCATGTTTTAAAGAAAAATTAATCAAATTGAACAATTATCCGGCAGTTCAAATTAATCTGGTGACCATTGATCGAATTTTAAATTTTAAAACTATTTTTTTTTATTGGAAGAAAAAAAAGGCTTCAACATCTGAGGTTATTAGCCTTGTGTACATGTTACGTTGTGTGAGTTACATTAATAATTACATTTCAAAGGTTACAATAGTCTTAGGCTATGAATACAGAATACATATTGGTTAAAGATTGTTTACAATGTTAATTTGTGTAAGGAAATTTAAGATTTTTATGGTGTTGTCTTTATGGAGAGCTTCTTCTAAATTGTTGGGTATCGATAAGGTATTTCGAATGTTTTGGAGGTCTGGGCAGTCTAGGATGATGTGTTGGATGGTTAGGTCTTCTTGGTATTGATTACATATGGGTGGTGAATCTTTTCTGATTAAGAAAGAATAGGTCAGAAAAGAATGTCCAATTCTAACTCTGGCTAGAGTGACTTCTTGTCGTCTGTTTAAATTATAGAGATGGTGCCACTTTTGAGTGGATTTTTTGATTTTTTTTAATTTGTTGGAAGGCGGAACAGAATCCCAATAACTTTGCCATGTCATATTTATTTTGTTTCTAATGGAAATATTTATGTCGTTAGTCGGTATGTCAGTGATTGTTAGATGTAAGATGGTTTTAGCTGCTTTGTCTGCTGACTTATCGGCCATCTCGTTACCGGCAATGCCGGTGTGTGAGGGAACCCATATAAATTCTATATTTTTTTTTGTTGAATATAGTTCGGTTTGGATATTCTGGGTTATTTCATTTGTCGAGAAGGGGTTTAGGAGAGCTAGGAGAGCACTAAAAGTGTCACTTACAATTAAAATATTGTTATTAGAGGGTGTTAGGTTTGTTGATTTGATAGCTTCTAAGATGGCATAGTTTTCTGCTGTAAAAATGCTGCTCTCCGGAGGAAGCTAATGTAGAATTTCGGTTTCTTCTTTGATGATTGCAAAACCAGTTCCGTGATGAGATTTAGATGAGTCGGTGTAAATTTGCGAAAAATTGGAGTATTTATTCTGGATGATTTCTTTGAAGTGGGACGTGATAATTATCGAATTTGTTTCATGCTTATTATACTTGGTTAATTCGGTATTTATGTGGGTTTTCCAAAGCCAAGGTGGAAATTTTGGGAATGTTATTTTATTTTTAATAGATGAGTGGATTTTAAACTTTGTGCACAAGTGAGTGAAGGTTTCGTGTATGGATGGTATTTGTTTCCTGGTTATGCTGGTTGGGATTATACATTGGTTTCGGAAAATGTTGTTGTATCCAATGTGGTTAGGAGTGCTTTTCCTTTTTATGCATATAAGAGTATGTCTTTTTCTCTTTGGAGTTTAAGAGGTAGTTCTCCAGCGTAGCATAAAATATTGTCGATAGGGCTGGTTCTAAATGCTCCAATTGAAATGCGAATACCTTCATTATGTAACGGATCTAATATTTTGAGTAGATTTTCTTTGGCTGAATTATAAATAATTGACCCATAATTTATTCGTGACAGTATTAATGACTTGTAAATATTTAGAAGGATTTTTGTGTCAGCTCCCCAGGTATGATTTGAAAGTGTTTTCATTATGTTCATTTTCATTTTACAAGAACTTTTAAGTTTTATTAGATGTTGGGTCCATTTTAATTCACTATCGAAGATTATTTCTAAAATACGTAAAGATTTACAAAAAGGTATTTTGGAATTATTCAAGAATAATTATTGGTTGTTTGTCATACGAGTATGGAAACAAATACATTGACTTTTCCCTGGGGAGAATTTGAACCCAGTTTTATTTGACCAATTTTGGAGAATATTTAGTGCTTGTTGTAATATTTCTATCGTGGTTTTAATATTTTGTCCACTGCAATAAATGTGGCAATCGTCAGCAAATAGTAGGTGTTTTGAGGTTTTGGTATTTCCTTAAATATATTGTTAATAGCTAGCAGGAACATTGTGACACTGATCACTGAGCCTTGGGGAAGGTCGTTTTCAGTTAAGTAGGTGTTTGATAGTTCATTATGGGCTTTAACTTGGATTGTACGGTTTTTTAAGAAATTTTGAAAGAAAATGAACATTTTACCATTTATACCACATTCATGAATAATTTGAACGGCTCTATTTCCCCATACCATTGTTGCGTGCCGTCGCTCAATCGTATTTGATAGTTAAGTTTTTAAGGATAATACTTCAATAAAAATACTTAATTGTAATTTAAACTGTTTATTTAATA